ACCCCATTTTGTCATTAACAAGCCTTGCAGCGTGAATGTCATTGTTAGTGACTGGGGTACTGGGGGGCACCCTTGAAGTTCTTTCCCACACCTTACTGGGGTCTTGATGAGAGGGAAGGGAAGTGATGAGGGCCAGCTGAAGCACGTTATGTTGCAAATGTGAAATATTTGAATAAAAAATTTGTGTTAACACTTTGACTTACAAAGATTTTGGATATAATCTGAATTAGGGCAGATCATCTACTTTCAAGTTATTTAGATTTCTATGAAAATTATTTCTAGGATAGACGTTCTAAATAAAAGCTAGTGGCAATGTGGGTCATAAAGAACAGATATGAAGCTCTCAGCAGGTCCTGTCTTACTGGATTAGATGGGCAACGGCACTGAGTCAGCACGGCCAGGGCTTAGCCTTGACTTTAGCAAGGGGAGAAGGAACCCGGGCCACGGAGACCCGATGGTGGGGTTTTCTGAAGGCTTTGGGGACCTAAGGATAGTGAAGAGAAAAGCAAAGTGATTCCGTGTAAGTAAGACTTGTAAAATGTACATTTTCTTTTAACCAAAATAACATAAACTGCATTATCAGTGTTCAGAAAATGAAGAGGAAAATATGACCAATAATTCTAACAAAATGCTATTAGTCTTTTTAAATGTCTTTTTTTCCACTAAAATATATATTTTAATCTTCTAAAAGAGCTAAAATTAGGGACTCCTGGGTGGCTCAGTTGGTTGCACGTGTGCCTTCGGCTCATGTCCTGGGATTTGGGCTCCCTGCTCCGCGGAGAGCTGGCTTCTCCCTCTCCCTCTGCGGGCCGCTCCTGCTGCTTGTGCTTTCTCCTTTCCTCTCTCTCTCTCTCAAGTAAATAAAATCTTTCGGAAAAAATAGCTAAAATTATTATACAACTTTGTTTTTGTTTTAATATACATCAGGCAATTTTCCGAGTGTTTATTCCATCTTCCTTACTGTTCGTGGTGATACATAATAGTTCTTCCAGTTAAAAGTTAACGTTAAACATTTATGTGTTTTAACAAACACGTTATGTTTTAACAAAAAACATTGGTTTTTTTTTTTTTTAAACCAAGAGTATGGACCAAACAGTGTGAATGCTTCTCGGCATCAGGGCCCAGGTAACCTGTTAACATTATTTTAAAAAGAAAAAGTACGTGTATGTATAAAAGATAGTGTGGAGGAGAGCTGACCCACTGTTCCTGCTTCGTTCTCCGCAAACAGCCACTGTTAGCGTTCTCTCGTGTGCGCAGAAAAACCATTGCTCACGCTAGCGTAGGTATTTGTCCTTTTTTGTGCACAGAGAGAAACGTGCCATCACACATACACTGTTCTGTACCTTGTTTACTTCGTTTACTGTGTCCTCCTAGAAGAGCATTTGGGGTGAACTTTTAATTTATGGGAATTGGGAAGTTGTTTGCTTCCTCTTAGTTCCGCCGGTGTCTGAATGTGTGCGCTCCTTGCCTGTGGGTGTCACTTTCTCTTTGGGGCAGCACTGACTGTGACGGTGCTGTTGGCTGACCTTCCACACCCAGGCTGTGACCCCCAGGAGCGTGTCCGTTAGCTTTGAGCAGAGGGTGTACACGCACATCTCATCAAGGTGGTCCTGGGCAGCACCCACTCGGGGACAGTAAGGCCAGTGTGCTGGACACCCTGAGTGCCCCTTCATCAGTGAAACTCCGTTCATCTATGAAAAAACTTCTTTTCCAGATTTGATTTCAGAAAATACACCTTTGACATGGAGAATAGATCATGTAATTTTAGAAGATTTTTAAGTGCTTAACCATAGGTTACTTTTTCTCACCAGACCAGTTGTCTAGATTAAATAGGTCTGAAAGGACTTTTGTCTTTATTGCTAGTAGCCACAGGAGTACCTCTTCTCTTGAAAATGAACAAACATGGATTTTGAGTCTCTCTCTTGAGACTCAGATGCGGACACTGGTTATAGAGGGCTCTGTAAGTAAAAGCATTAGTCATTTATGATACTTACTGATGAAAGAGAAATAGATCTGGTTTTGTTCTCTTTGCTTGTGACTAAAGATTCAAGCCAGCAAGTATTGATGTTATTGCTTCTGAAATTTTATGGGGTAACTGAATTAAATGGATCTTCTCATTTTAAACACACTTGGGGGGCACCTGGAGGACTCAGTCGGTGAAGCATCTGCCTTTGGCTCGGGCCACAGTAGTCTGCTTATCCCTCTCCCTCTGCCCCTCCCCTCCACTTGTGCTCTCTCTCTTTCTCTCTCTCAAATAAAGAAGTAAAATCTTAAAAAAAAAAATGCAGACACTTGGGTTTTCAATTAATTCATTTCTCTAGTTTTGAACAATGTAGCTGGGTGGTTATCATGTATATATTCATCTATAATATGTTTAAAAAGAACATCTAACTAAAAGAAGTACTTAAACTTAAGATCTCAGGGGTCATCCCACCTAATAATAGAATTTGGGTCTTTTATCTAAAGACCCAGCATCTCAGAAGTACTTCCTGTTTACGTAGGTCCTAAAAGTTTGCTGTTTTTAGTCCTTACTTTAAAAATTAACCTTAACTTTTTAGTGTTGAAGTTATAATCAGAAGTTATTTTTTTAACAATTAAAGTGGTTTTTTTTAAGATTTTATTTATTTGTTTGTCAGAGAGAGGGAGCACAAGCAGGGGAACAGCAGGCAGAAACAGGCAGAAGGAGAAGCAGGCTCCTCGCTGAGCAAGGAGCCGGATGCGGGACTCGCAGGACTCGGTCCCAGAACCCTGGGATCATGACCGGAGCCGAAGGCAGACCCGTAACTGCCTGAGCCCCGCAGGCGTCCCAGTAATTTACGATTGTATTTATTTATTTTAGAGAGGGAGAGCTTGCTTGGGGATGGGTGGTGAGGCAGGGCAGAGGCAGAGGGAGAGAGCATCTCCAGCGGACCCCCACTGAGCACGGAGCAGGGCTCCATCTCAGGACCCCAAGACCATGACCTGAGCTGATACCCGCAGTTGGACGCTTGACCGACTGAGACACCCAGGCGCCCTCCCATCTTTTTAAGAGATTTTATTTATTTGTAAGAGTAACAACTCCATTTACCCCACACCAACCATTAGCTGTTATTTCTCTTCAGCACTGGTTTTGGAAGGCTTGAGTAAAAGGTCTTCTTTACAGACCAAGAGCAGTTCCCTGACATGGGGCGGGGTGCTGCTGCCGGCGTGAGAGCCCCCAGCACCGCGTGACCGTGTGCGCGGCGTGTAGCTCGGGTCCGCGCGCGGGAGCGGTGGCAGGGTGTCCTGGCTGGCGGCACGCAGCAGTCCACAAACGCGGGGGACACGTCATGCCAGCTTCCCAGCGCTTTTAGAAATTACCTCCTATTCTCTTGGCACTGTCCCCGTTGCATACGGCACTGTCCGTAGGCTGCAGCTCTGAGGCGTTTGTCCGCGAAGACTGGAGAGAGCACTAGCCAGTGGCGTCGGGTAAAGTGTGTGCAGGGCGGCCGCTTCCACGTCGAGCTTCGGTAATGCTGCTTTTCACCGGGGAGGCGCCAAGTATCTTTGAAACCTTCCACGTGCTTCCAGCTCCCACTTAAAGTAATGGCTTTAGAAACAACTATTTTGGTCCGAAATATTTCTGAATCTGTGTCAGCATGTGTCGCCTTCCCAGAGGCGTCTTCACATCCCGTCCCGTCCCTGTAAGGCCTTTCTTGGCGGTTCTGCAGACTGTCATTGAAGGTCAGGACTGGCGGCGGGGGATTGGTTCCTGGAGGTCCTGCACACACACCCCTCGCCCCCTGCCTCCTGTCTGGCCTGTTTTCATAGCTGTGAATCGATAGCACAGCTGAAAGCAAGAACTAAGAACTCAAACACACACTGTTTAAAGATACTCTTTAGTGGGAAAGACATTTTTTGTTTTCATCAGTAAGTATACATCAAGTTTCTGTAATGTAAGCCATGTAAATTTATTCTAAATGCTTTTGTGCAGAATAGGAAGATTTACCTAGACTGCGGACTCTAACATACATGCTTCCTGCCCCCTCCAGTTTCCCCCAGATAGGTTTCAGTCTCAGGAAAATAACTATTGTGAATTAAATATCTGGTGTATGTAATATCAACCCTGTCACTTTTGCATACAGTCTCTGGTGTGTGTTTGCACAGGACGTTGAGGCCCTTTGAGGAGCCATATTTGCGTACGGGCGCTCACCGTAGGCTTAGGCGATTGAGATGCTGCTAATTATAGCTTCAGCTTTGAGATACATCAGTCATAACCATGACTGCTGTAACGTTCATGCTCTTGGTCGGAAATACAACCCCAGTTACGGCATTCCCTTGGGAAGGTAGGTCTGGTCTAACAGGGAGACTTTGCTTTAAGTCTGGTTTAAGGAATGCTGTCTAAGGAGACTGGGGTGGCAGGGCTGTTTGTTCTGAGCCTAATTCGGCCGGTGCCTGTCAGGATGGAGTTAGTGCTGCTGTTTCCTGGGACCCCATTTTGGTCGGAGAGCAAGATGTCCCCGGACCAGAAGCCTGTTGGATACCACACTGAGTGCTTTCAGAATTTCTGTGTAAACATTCTGACATCCGTGGGGCGTGGCGGCGGAGGGGGTCCTGGTTTCGAGAACATCGACATGGTGCTGAGGTTCTGGGCTGTCCGGCTGCCGCTCTGCTCGTCTCCTGAGCAGATTTCCCCGGCCGTCCGTGTGAGCTCTTCTAACGTCAGTCTACGCTCTTGGGTTTAGAGTGAGACTCCGATCCTTCAGGAAAAATGCTGCTTGACACATTTTTGCTTTTTCATCCCACCACCATCTTCTGAGTGTGTATTTGCCACCGTCACTGAAGGGCTGGTGGGCACTACTGATCGCGTCTGACCGGTCCAGCCCCTGGTAGAACCGTAGAGGTTCTGGTGAGCGCTGAAGAGAAGTGCTCTGACTGTGATAAAAGAACAGCTCTCAAAATGCCGGTTCCCTTTCACCCGCTTCGTTAAGCTACTCAGCCATTGTTTATTAATTTTCCTTATGCTTGTATTTCTGTTTCAGATCTCCGTTTCCTTGAGGTGGCACTGTAGAGCGCTGGCACCCGAAGATGAGTGAACTTGACCAGCTGCGGCAGGAGGCCGAGCAGCTTAAAAACCAAATTAGGGTATGTAGCTGTATGTGTGCTTGACTTGGTTTATAAATCATTCACATTTCAGGTAAGATGTTACCTGTTGTGGGTAGGGTGCGTTTCAGAATGACTACGTAGTATTTTGGATTAAAACTGAATTTTCACTGGAGCAGGATATGCTCATGGAGCCAAGTACTTGGCCTAGGATGTGGTTTTCAGGGTTTTGTTTTCCAGTATGTCATTATTTGAATATACAAAAAATGTTTTCATAGAATTTATAAATGTCTCTCTCTGTATTTTTTCTTAACCTTGGGAATTCATTCATGACTTTTTTCCCCCCATTCACGACATTTTCTTGGTCCCTGCATAGAGTGTGGTGTCTGCTTCCCTCCCTTGTGACTGTTAAGTTTAGGACAGGAAACTTGTTTTTTTTCTTTTTTTTTTAAGATTTTATTTTTTATTTAATTATTTGACAGACAGAGATCACCAGTAGGCAGAGAGACAGGCAGAGAGAGAGGAGGAAGCAGGCTCCCCGCTGAGCAGAGAGCCCGATGCGGGGCTCGATCCCAGGACCCTGAGATCACGACCTGAGCCGAAGGCAGAGGCTTTAACCCACTGAGCCACCCAGGCGCCCCAGCTCCCAGAGTTCTATAGCTTTAAATCCCAGCCTGGCCAACCGCAGAGCCCATGCACTTCTGAAAAGGCAGGGCCGGGAGGGTTCTGAAGACATGAATTCTGCTCTCCTCCCATTTTGTGAGCCAGAACTTGTAATGAACATTTTCTACAGAAACATTAAATACAAGTACTTGTTCCTGTTCTCATACTGTCCATAAGAAGACAGTGACAAGGAGGGGTCGACCCCCAGAGAACCCATTTCTAGGACACTGAGGTAGATTCGTGTTCTCTTGAAGGGGCTTCTTAAGGCCCAGCTCTCTCCAGAGCATCATTTTCTCAGTGTGTCTAAGCAGCAGTTTATTTTTCTGAGTCTGCTCTAAGGGGGGAGCTTTACCCCCTTCAGATGACTGGCTCCATGTTCAGAAAGCCTAGTGGTGACTGGGCAAGGAAGCATCAGCGTCATGGTAGCCAACTTTTTTTCTTACACCTGAGAAAAGATAATGGAATTTTTAAAGATCTACAGCCAAGAGGATACAAAGTATCTTTCAAATTTCAAACCCTAACATTCTGAAGACCAACTCCACAGGGCGCCCTAGGCGTCTCAGATGATGAAGTGTCCGCCTTCAGCTCAGGTCACGATCGCCGGGTCCTGCGATAGAGCCTGGTGTTTGGCTCCTGGCTCAGCGGGGAGCCTGCTTCTCCTTCTCCCTCTCCTCACGCTCATGCTCACGCACTCCTCTCTCTCTCTCTGTCTCAAATGAAGAAATCAAATCTTAAAAAAAAAACAAAAACTCGGATACAGCTCAATAAAAATAAGCAAGACTTGGTGTTTTTAACGGTTTGCTCTGATCAGACTGGATTCACACCTCCCGTCCTCCTTCCAGAACACAGAACTCAGAATTTTGTTCTTCTGATCGCTATAAATTATTGTTTAGAAGTTCTTCATCGTGGGTTCAGATCTCTGCGTAGCAGATAAAGAAAGTTTGTGTGGGGACGCCTGGGTGCCTCAGTCGGTTGGACAACTGCCTTTGGACCAGGTCGTAGTCCCAGGGTGCTGGGACTGAGTCCCGCGTCACGCTCCCTGCTCAGCGAGGAACCTGCTTCTCCCTCTGCCTGCTGCTCCCCCTGCTTTTGCTCTCTCTCACTCTCTGACAAACAGATAAAAAAATCTTTTAAAAAAAAGAAAGAAAGAAATTTCGTATGGCATAGGGGAAAGACATCGAAATTTTGGGGAAAAAAAACAAAGCCTGAATGTTCACGTTGCATCTCTTGCTGCTTCGTTGTGAATTGCAGGCCTCTTCCCAGGGGCCAGGGCTGTCATGTGACCGACCACCTGTGGGATTTGAAAGTGTGAACAGAGGGTGCCTGGCTGGCACAGTCAGGGGAGTGTGTGACTCTTGGCCTTGAGATTACAAGTTCGAGGCCCATGTTGGGTGTAGAGATGACTTAAAAATAAAATCTTTTGGGGCGCCTAGATGGCTCCGTTGGTTAAGCATCTCCTTTCAGCTCAGGTCGTGGTCCTGGGATCGAGCCCCGCATTGAGCTCCCTGCTCAGCAGAGAGTCTGTTCCTCCCTCTCTTTCTGCCTTCCCTGCCTATGCGCTCTCATGCTTTCTCACTCTAAAAAAATGAAAAATAAAATCTTTTATTTTTTCTTATTTTTAATTTACTTTTTTGAAAAGATTTTATTTATTTGAGAGGCGTGTGCACTCACAAGTTGAGGGAAGGGGCAGAGGGAGAAGCAGGCTTCCCCCTGAGCAGGGAGCCCGATGCAGGACTGGATCCTGGATCCCAGGACCCTGAGATCATGACCTGAGCTGAAGGCAGACCCTTAACCAACTGAGTCACCCAAGACACCCCCAAAATAAAATCTTTTAAAAATAAAAATTTAGGGCGCCTGGGTGGCTCAGTGGGTTAAAGCCTCTGCCTTCGGCTCAGGTCATGATCCCAGGGTCCTGGGATCGAGCCCCACATCGGGCTCTCTGCTCAGTGGGGAGCCTGCTTCCTCCTCTCTCTGCCTGCCTCTCTGCCTACTTGTGATCTCTGTCTGTCAAATAAGTAAATAAAATCTTAAAAATAAAATAAAATAAAACAGAGGCTTTCCCCTCTGTTTACCAGTAGTATCACCACGGTCTATTGTACGATACAGTGTGAAAGGCCAGGTTGATCTTCGAACACTAAACCAGGTGAAGTCGCTTAAGTCCCATGGCTTATTTTTTCCACTTACAAAATTCTCATTATTCTTTTTTTTTTTTTTTTAATGAAGATTTTTATTTATTTATTTGTCAGAGAAAGAGAGAGAGAAAGAGCGAGAGCACAAGCAGGGGGAGTGGTGGGTAGAGGGAGAAGCAGGCTCTTGCCGAACAAGGAGCCCGATGCGGGTCTCCATCCCGCATGACCTGAGCCAAAGGCAGACATTTAACCAACTGAGCCACCCAGGCGCCCCATCATTATTCTTTTTCATAACTAAAGGCCATGTATAACATCAATAAGAGTGATACTCAGAACTAAACGTTGAACTCAGTAGTTGACAGGTAGAATCCCGTTTAAAGACTTGTACTGTGGACCTTCCCTCAGCTTGCTCCCTACCCCAAATTTAGGTGCTGGCAGAGAAATGCTTGATGACATGATTTTTGGTGTTTTAATTATTTAATCCATTAAGTAGAATTAATTAAGCAGAATGACTTCTCATAGAATAATTAAAGCTGAATCTGAAATCTAGATCTTTGGCACATTTATAACAATAATGTCTTTGAGTATGTTTCCATGTCCTCAGTTGATAAATATTCCCTCCAGCTTCATGACGTAACTCACAGTGAGGCAGTTTGCCCTTAAAGAATGGTGTCCTGGGGGATGCCTGGGTGGCTCAGTGGGTTAAAGCCTCTGCCTTCAGCTTGGGTCATGATCCCAGGGTCCTGGGATCGAGCCCCATATGGGGCTCTCTGCTGAACGGGGAGCCTGCCTCCCTCTCCCTCTGCCTGCCTCTCTGCCTACTTGTGATCTCTGTCTGTCAAATAAATAAATCTTCCAAAAAAAAAAAAGTGTCCTGGGATACCCACGTCCCCCCGCCACCCCCTTGAAGATGGGGGTATGTATGAATGCTGTCATGTGGCCAGCTGTCATTTCAAAAGCAGATAATCAGATGACTGCATAATGGAAACATTTTTCTTAATAGAAATTTGTCATCATTTCCTTTGAAATTACTCTTGTACTCAAATTTTTGCCCCTTTCAAGCTCTTGTCTCATTTTCCTTCATAACATATGGCTATTTTCTATATTTCCTAGGAAGTTTGATCACTTAGGAACAATAAAAACATCTTAGGTAGCCTTAGAATTTCCCTTCACAGTTCTTACCTGCTGCTTCACAAGGTCATCTTACAGGTAAGGGAGCAGGTAGCACACACAGCAGCCCGACAGTCTTACTGAATTGGATCACTTGACTCCAGACCCTGTCCTCATAGAGCTCCGCGTCCGATATCGTTTGGCTTCAAAGCACAGCCCTTCGCTAACGTGATCTGGAGGGAAAGTTCTTCAGGCTGGACATCCAGTGCTTTTGGGGTGTCTTTCTCTGGGCCCCAGGGCTCCTGGGCTGGTGGAAAGTCCGCGAGGCACGCGTGCAGGCCTGTGGGAACGCACAGGAGCCTCGGTGGGCAGGAGAGGAGGTTTCACCGGGTTTCTCCGGTGCCACCTGGCTTCCGGTGTGGCGGTCCCAGCACAGCCTCCATTTCTGGGGTCCCAGGGCGTTGTGCTGGTTGTCACGTGCACGGGGTGCCGCCGGTGCTGCGTTCCGTAGAGCCCAGAGCGCAGGACGGTCGGTCGGCGGCCCTACACCGCGTCCGAGGCCTGGGGCGGGGAGAGGAAGCCGCGCCCTTCCGGTCTGCCTTAGCGTCGGGCTGTCGGTGGAGGCGCTCGGAAACGGCGTGAGGACCTGGGACTGAATGCACGTGAGCCGGGACTGACCTCCGCTTTGTCGCTCTTATTTCCTAGGATGCTAGAAAAGCGTGTGCGGATGCGACCCTGTCTCAGGTAAGATCCCTGTGCGGGAGCCGCTCGCCTGGCCCGGGCCCTGCTCGGGGCCGCCGGCGCTTGGCGCCTGGAGAGCGAGCGGTGCCGCGGCTCCGACGCCTGCCCCGCGAGGGCGGACGCGCTGCTGGAAGCGTTTTCCCTCCGAAGGCGCGGGAGGTCGTGGTTTCCCTGGGCGCGATGAATAAGCGTCTCACGAGCCTTTCTGAAGTCCGGGTGGGCGGGCCCTCCGAAGGGGCGGGCCCTCCGAAGGGGCGGGCCCGTCCGTGGCGAGCCGGCCGCGCTGCGCCTGGGGGCCCCCGGAACCGCAGCTCGGACGAGGCCACGCGCACGCGCCGCCTCCGCCGCAGCCCCGCCCGCTGCCTCGACAGTCCCTGCGGACGCACGAGTGCGTGACCCAGTGCGGGCGCCCGCGGCGCGGTGTCACGTCGCCGTCAGTCGCACAGACGCCTTCACGGCGCATTAGCGGCCTGGCCGCGCCTCAGACGCGATGCGCAGTGAGAGCAGCAGACGTGCGGGGTCGCGGGCTTGGATGCCGCCGCAGGCCGAGTCCGGGACGGGCAGATCCGAGGGGCGCCGAGTTCATGCGCGCCTTCCCGGAGTTAGGGAGGACGGTGGGGAATGGCGGGGGCGCGCGTCCTGGGCGGGGCGCGTGCTGGGACCGGAGGGGGCTGTGGTGGTGCGCGCGGGTAGGAATGTGCCGCTCGCCTCGGGACTGTTCACTTTAAAATGGGGAGTTTCACCTCATTAAGAAAAAAGGTTTTGTCCAAAGAATTAGATAGAAACGTGAAAGAAAAATTATATTCATAGTTCTCCTGAGGATGATTCAAGGTGTTACCTTGTCCCGCTGCTTTAGGGGATGCGCTTTCGTTGGGGTTAAACAGTAAGTTAAAGAGAAACTTCTACTGCATAGAATTCCTAAATTTGAATTCTCAGATATATTTCAAATACTTTGGGACTATACGTTTTTTAAACCCATCATTGAGGCTCCTGGCTGGCTCAGTCGACAGAACATGCAGTTCCTGATCTCAGGGTTGTAAGTTCGAGCCCCATGTTGGGGATTTTAGTAGAGGTTACTTAAAAATAAAATCTTTTTAAAAAAAACCCATAAAACCTTATTGTGATACACTTAGTTCAGCTGTCAACGCGGAATCGTTACTGTCCTTTTTCACGTGTTGGAGTGAATCTGCACATCCAGTTCTGGGCCATAAGCAGCAGCATTTCTAGTCGCTGCTGACCGTTGTCCAGATCATTGCCCAGCCTGGTCACAGTGGACAGCGTGTGAGCCGCGGGCCCGTGTTCCGTGTGACGGGGGCTGACGGGTCTGTAATCTGGAAGGAGAGCAAGCCTATGAGGACTTAGGGACAGGAGGAGCTGGGCCTGGATGAGCAGTGGGGGAGGGGGGGACCCCGGGGACAGCGTACCTATGGACCAGCGCCGTGTGTGCACACTCTGGGGAGAGGGGTTGGGGAGCAGGTGTTGAAGAGCAGGTAGTGACGGACTTCGTACAGACCGTGAAAGAGAGGTAGGTGCCGCAGTCGCCGTGGAGAGCTGCCGGGTGACTGGCAGAAGCCGGGTGGGCACAGCACTATGGGCGAGCAGCACAGCCAGAACAAGGGTGGTGGGGCTGCCGGGGAGGGGGAGGGAGGAGGTCTCAGGGGAGGTCATTCCACGACAGACTGTTAATTTGCCGTAACTTTTATTTTTTAAGATCACAAACAACATCGACCCAGTGGGAAGAATCCAGATGCGCACCAGGAGAACGCTGAGGGGGCACTTGGCCAAAATTTATGCCATGCATTGGGGCACGGATTCCAGGTGTGTGGGAGCAGGAGCAGAACATAGTGTTTGAGACGCTCAAGGGTTGTTCTGTTTTTCGGAGGAAAAATATCCTGAACTCATCTGCAGTTACTTGTAAAGACAGAGTGAGACAAGCGCACGCTCCCTGTGCACATTTCCACTCACCCGGGCTGATGGTCCACTGTTGCTGCTGCGGTGCCCTCACGTTTGTGTGAGCTGTGACCCCCGCCCCTGACCTTGGCTCTCCCAGCTCCACTGTTCTGTGCCTGCGTGACCTGGGGCAGGTCACACAACTTCTCTGGTGCCAGGGCTCCGTGCCTTTGCAGCCTGTTGTGCATAACTCCTTGGCCCCTACCTTCTTGTGGTTTCAGCGCCCTGGCTCAGGGATCATACACCTGTAAACCTGCCATGTGGAGAAGATTAAGTGTGTCGAGCTTTACAGCAGCGACTAGAACACCCTAAGCGCTGTGCACAGATTTGCTGCTGATTTTCTTGGAGCCCACAGGAGACATGTGGAAGCGCGTGTCTTAGCTGCTGCCCTGCCTCCCTTTTATCTATCATCCCAACAAGAAAGTGCTCCTCGGGCACTCATTTATTTTACTTTAACTTCTGCCCCTTGTTTGGACTTTTCCACTCTGGGTGGCTCATTTCCATCGCGTCCTGGGTCCGTCCTTCCCCTCCCCTCTCCTGCAGCGTCACTAGAGTGAAATCTGTTGGACTGTGTCTTTTCGAGGCTGCTGGAGAGTTTGTCTCTTCTGTCTTTCCCACCTGAGTCATTGAATCGCATGCTTGTGACTTGGTGGCTACAGCACGCTCTCCCAGACACCTGACGCGCGATTCTCAAAGAGCCTTTCTTCGAGGAGCATTATTTTGTGTGTCAGAGAGGAATTGCTTGGTTTTCTCTTTGTTCATGAAATTGTCTGCTTCAGAGTGTAAACAGCTACAGAACAAAAGAATCTATCTTTAGTTTGTTCTGTACGCTGTTCTGTACAATTTCAAATGCAAATGAGAGCTAACTTCGATCATTTAATGATGGCAATAATCAGAAAAACTAAGAAAAGGGAAAGCAAGAAAAATGCCGTGGCTCATCAGTCCACCTTGGAATTTGTTATCAAAAGTAGACAGTAACCAAATGGTATGTTGCCTCCAGGGCTTTTCCTCCATCTGTAGGAACAGCAGTGTCCTTCTGGAACAGGACACTTGATAGACGCTGCGGCCAGGCTGTACTCAGAGCCTGGCACTCGGGAGCCCAGCGCTTGGAGCCTGGTCCTCGGAGCCTGTCGCGGTCGAGGCTCCCTAAGTCATTCAGTCTCCTGCAACAGCCAGGCTGTGGTCAGGGGAGTTGCAGAAGTGACACATCCCTTTTCTGAAGGGTCCCCTGGGAGCACCAGGTCACCCAGCAGGCAGCTGTGGGAATGAGGATCCGAGCTCAAGGTGAGGCAGGAGGGCTCAAGCTGGGCACCAGACCAGCTTCCCGCAGCCACGGTGCAAGCTCTGTGCTCTGCCTGGTTCAGACACGCTGTGCTTTGAGAGCCTCAGAGTTAGAAGGAGGAGAAGCAAGGCCTGAGTAAGTAGCACCAAATTCAGGTTCCCGGTCACCCCTCGAAGAAGCAGTGACATGAAAGACCATGTGGGAGGCTGGTAGGGGGCGCCGTATGGTCCTGTTCTGTTTCCTGGGTGGGGCGGTGGGATGTGTTTTACAGCTGCCTTTGAAACTGCACCGTTAGTCGCACAGTGTCCTTCTGTGGGGCCCTATTTTGTAATCTCAGACAAAAGAAAACAAAAAATCATATTCAGGAGGATCTCTGCTATTCCGAGCCTTTGAGGTACTCTCTTTTTCTAGATGGCCATATTTTCTGAGTAGGTGAATTTTTGTCTTTTTGAAGTCGAGAATATTTGTTCTTCATGATTCAAGGCTAATTCATGATTTCCAGTTATCTTACCGTGTTTGTGTAGTTTATAGATGCTCTCAAACTGCCGTTTAGTTTTCAGAACTGTAGGAGAGCCCACAGTGAGAGGTCTAGGCGTGTGTGCGTGTCAGTGTGTATTACGTATACATTTATGTTTATCAACAGGGTATGTTCATTTATACTTAAATTTTACCTTTTACAACATTTGAGGGTCTCTTTCAGTTACATGAGTTAAAGTGAAACTTTTTCTCCCCTTTCTCCGTTCTTCTGAACTCTTGTTATAATTGAGAGTCAAACACAGTTGGCCCGGCTAGGCCCGAGAGCCCTCCCTCCTCCAAGCAAACGAGGGCCCGGAGGCATTTGGATGCGGGCCTCTCTTCAACCTCTGTCCTCAGCTCCCCGGACCCTCGCTTCCGTGCTGGCTCCGGCCTCTGTTCCGGGTGGGCGGTGCCTCACAGTAACAGACCTGGCAATAGCTGGAAGCTCTGGGGCCGGAGTGAACGCAGTTCTCCAGCAGTTGTCCTGTCTCGGATCAAGAAGCGTCCTCTCTCACCTTCTGGGGGATCATCGGACAGCTTAACGTTTCTCTAGCCCTGGGCGAGTCAGCAAATACTAAGCTCTCTGACCAGGAGACTTTTCTAAGGGTGACCCTCCTGGAGGACGAGCTTCTTTACCTCGGCTTGGATTTTCCAGCAAAGCCCGTGTAAAGGGCCAACCAGAGCTTCCCCAGCAGGCTGAACCCTACTCTCTTACGCGGAAGGAAGTAGCTTTACGAGCCTAATAGGTTTGTTCCTGAACCTGGGTGCAGGGCTTTGCTTTAAGAAACTGCATCGGGAGAGCGATCGGGTTAGACCTGCTCCGAGCTTGCTTCTGGGATGGATCTTGCAGCGCGGCGCGGAGACGGCTGTGATTTGTGCCGGACTCGTGGGCTCCGTGTAAAGGGAGTTCTTGCATCAGAATGTAGAATTTGGAGGAAAATATCACAGCTGTCAGAATGGCTTGAATAAGTATTACCTCCAGGTTTTGATCAGTTCGTTAAGTCAAATATGCTCTTGGCTGAAATGGTCAAAACCTGTGTTTGATTGAAATCTTTAAAATGAAAAATCTGGGGGCTGCCTGGGTAGCTCAGTCGTTAAGCGTCTGCTTTCGGCTCAGGTCAGGATCCCAGGGTCCTGGGATGGAGCCCTGCATTGGGCTCCCTGCTTGGCGGGAAGCCTGCTTCTCCTCTCCCACTCCCCCTGCTCATGTTCCCTCTCTTACTGTGTCTCTCTCTAGTAAATAAATAAAATCTTTTAAAAAATAAATAAATAGGGGCGCCTGGGTGGCTCAGTGGGTTAAGCCGCTGCCTTCGGCTCAGGTCATGATCTCGGAGTCCTGGGATCGGGCCCCGCATCGGGCTCTCTGCTCAGCGGGGAGCCTGCTTCCTCCTCTCTCTCTGCCTGCCTCTCTGCCTGCTTGTGATCTATCAAATAAATAAATAAATAATCTTAAAAAAATAAATAAATAAAACTAAATAAAAAATCTGTTGGGGCGGTGGCCATGCAGCCCTGTTCCCACATCACCCTGTTTCCAGGTACCTAGAGTGTCCTAGTGCAGAGGGTTAAAGACCCTTGGGGGTTGGTTACCTGTCCCCCTTCATTGGGGCGGTTGGGCCCATGGGGAGTCTGGAGACCTGGTCCTTCTCCCCCAGGTCTGACCCCACCACTGTCCTCTCCTATGGTAGGAGGGGCCATCGGAAGCAGGGCCCTGCACACGTGTCCTGGGCACCTGTACAGCATCTGAACTCACCCTTGGGGGCATTGCTGGAATGCTCTGCTTAAAAAGAGAAAGAAAAAAAAATTAATCTCATTATTTACCATACTGTGGCATATGTCTGCCCAGCATTATGAATAGAGCCTTCTTGGCATTCCTTGAAAATACCACCTTCTGAGGACAGAGTTCTTAGGGTATCTTATGAGTAGCTGTGATTCCCAGAATTGCTCGGTCCCTTTGCCCCATTAGTCATGCTTTCCTTCTGCAGCATCCTGCCTTAATTCTGCAAGTAAAGACAGAGTACCTTTTCCAAATGTAGCAGTTAACCAAAGCAAGAAAATAATCGTGAAGCAAATTTATGACAGTTAACAGGTCTCTTCTGCAGGACAAGACACGATTCTCCTGTAGTTCGTCATCTCTTTGCAAAGCAGGTGGGAGGTTAAGTGCCTCCTTGATGTTTCTAGGAGACCTGAGTTCCAGATTTAGCTCAGTCTGGGAAATTTTCATGATTTTTGTTTTATTTTGTTTTTGGTGAGAAATGTCTCATAAATTTGGAATATCTAAAAGCTGGTTATTCTTTACTATCTAAGCTTTCTGCATGTCAAATGGAACACAAAGTTGTATACTAAATATTTTCTGCCTCCTTTGGTTCTAAAAGATCTATAGGTCTGAAATTTTATTTATAATGAATAAAAACTAAACGTAAGCAGTTACAAGAAATCAACCTGTTGGGGCTCCCGGGGGGGCTCAGTCAGTTAAGTAACTGCCTTTGGCTCAGGTCATGATCATGGGTCCAGGGATCGAGTCCCACATCCGGTCTTCTCTCGGTGGGGGGGCCTGCTTCTCCCTCTCCCTCTGCCTGGCACTCCCCCTGCTTGTGCGCGCGCTCTTGTGCACTCTCTCTCTCTCTGTGTCAAACAAATAAAAATCTTTAAAAATTAAAAAAAGGGAAAAAAGGGAAATCAACCTGTCTTAGCTCACCAGAGAGTCGCTTTGGTGATCTCGTCCGCATTTGAAGGCAGGCAGTCTTGACTCCGAACTATTACTTAGGGGAGCATTTTCTTTCATGCTTTCAAAGTTGAACTAACAATTAGACCGTTTTAATTTTTTTATAAATCAGTGTGCTTTGCCTCAAACAAATGTGACGCTGGAGCTTGTGTTCGTAGTCACTGGTCTGTCCTGTTGCCCTTCTGTGATTCAGGGTTGCTGTGGCGCTGCTGTGGCACTGACCGGTTTTCTTCTGCCCTCTCCCTGCAGGCTTCTAGTCAGTGCCTCACAGGACGGCAAACTGATCATCTGGGACAGCTACACCACGAACAAGGTAAGGACTACAGAACCCCTCCCTGAGCAACTGGCCCCGGAGGACGCGTGTCCAACCTCCAGCCACTTGTGTAAAAACACGTCCCACAGGACAGGGAGGGAGTCACGGCAAGCTCTGTTCTCAGTGTGACGCCAAATCTCGTGGCAACCCCGTGCTACTGGTGTCTTTGGCCGCGGCCCATGGTCTCACTGCAGGGCAGCCGGGAGCTATGTCCCTCATTAATGGTTCTGAAAGACCTGCATTCCGGAGTTCGCTCAGTCTGAGAAACTTTATGTTTCATCTAAAAATGTAGGGGCGCCTGGGTGGCTCAGTGGCTTAAACCTCTGCCTTCGGCTCAGGTCAAGATCTCAGGGTCCTGGGATCGAGCCACGCAACAGGCTCTTAGCTTAGCGGGGAGCCTGCTCCCCGCCCCCGCCGCCTGCCTCTGCCTCCTTGTGATCTCTGTCTGTGAAATAAATAAATAAAATCCTTTAAAAAAAATTTTTATTTGGGGCACTTGGGTGGTTCAGTCGTTAGTGTCTGCCTTCGGCTCAGGTCATGATCCCAAGGTCCTGGGATCAAGCCCCGTATTGGGCTCCCTGCTCTCTCTTAGAGAGAGAAAGCACAAGTCAGGGGGAGGGTCAGAGGGAGAAGCTGACTCCCCGCTGAGCAGGGAGCCTGATGCGGGACTCGATCCTTGGATGCCAGGATCATGACCTGAGCCAAAGGCAGATGCTTAACCAACCGAGCCACCCAGGCACCCTGGACTTCTAATTAGTTCTTCATCTGACTGGCCACGTGTATAAATTATTTTCAAAGCAATTCTGGCTGTTGTTTTGCATCACCTTCTCTGCAGTGAAAGTTGAAGACTGGAAATAGAGCCCTAGTGTCTGCAGTTCATGTTTTTGAACTTGAGTGTCTGCCTCATCTGTATTCTGTCAGGTCCATGCCATCCCTCTGCGCTCCTCATGGGTCATGACCTGTGCATATGCCCCTTCTGGGAACTATGTGGCCTGCGGTGGCCTGGATAACATTTGCTCCATTTACAATCTGAAAACTCGTGAAGGGAATGTACGTGTGAGCCGTGAACTGGCTGGACATACAGGTACGTGTTCGCACGGGTAACTTCGGGGCTGGAGATGTTTGCCTGCCATGCGCTACAGGCTTTGGACGTAGGCTTCTTCTCAATGATTGTCGAATGGGACTGATTGTAACAATGCCAGAGACATTCTGACATGCTCACTGGTAAGAAACCTTTGGGTTGAGGTCTTCGTAGCGTCCTGTTTGCAAGGATCTTGGGGACTTGGGCCACCGTTTTCACACCTCACAGCCGCCCTTTTTCATTTCATGGTAACGTAGTTCGGTCTGTGGGGTTTCCTATAAGCCATCTTAAACCTCGAGTGCCTTTCTACGAGGGTTTCCCAATCTACACATACACGTGTGACGCACGGAGACGTGTGCACACACACACGTACACGGATAGATCAGCGCAGCCCCCTTTAGCCACTTCACACCCGCTAGCACTCCCACTGAAAGGACACAGAAGCGAGCCCTCTGGGCTGTTCTTGCGGACGCAGCTGGCTTTAAGGGTGGGGTGGTATATTACTGTCCGCGCTTGGTTTCCCTGTGATGCTTGTCTTCAGAACAGACAGCTAGTGTTTCCGAAGAAGGAAGCCTCGTCCTCGTATCTTACTTGTGTGACTGCTCAGTTCTCACAGCCCCTCCCCGCTCGGCCCCCCGCAGCACACACAGCCAGAGAGGTGGTCGTCAGCTCAGGGCATGTGACTCTCCTCTGACCCCGTTGAAGCCTTCTATGTAGTTAACTTCAGCCAAACAAGAGTACGTCTGGAGTGCTTTTTTTTTAATGTTTGTGACTTTTTGTCTGTCTTTATTAATGTATAACTGGCAAGAGCATTCTGTCAGCCTCAGGGATACGGTACAGTTACGTGACATCTGCGCTCATCGCAGTACGTGCACGCAGTCCCCTTTGTTTCCTCCATCCCCGTCCGGCCTCCCCTCCGGCAAGCGGCGGAGTTAGACGGGATGGCGGTCCTGTCTTTCGTTCGCCACCGTCCTACGTTATCTTCTGCTCTCTGCTTAGCTGGGATTGCTCCCTTCTTAACTTTCTGGCTTCTTAAGGTAGAACCTCAGACCTTTCTTTTTCAGAGAGAACCACTTAAAGCTATACATTTCCCTCTAAACAGGGCTTTAACTCTATTATCATTCAGCTTGAGGGATTTTTACTCTCCTCTTGATTACTTCTTTGGTTCGTATGTTCCTTACAAGTATGATGTTTAATTTTCAAGTACCTGAAGTTTCCTTGTACAGCTTATTATGGATTTACAATTAAATTCTGTTATGTTCGGAACACAAACCCGTGTCATTTCAGTTCTTTTCTGTTTGTTGGGACTTGTTTTTGGTGGAGCAGAGAGGGTCGGGGTGCGCAGGCCGCAGACCCTCGACAACTGGTCTGTTTTGCAGGTGCCGGCCCGTTCTCCGTGTGCTTACTCGAGCCAGACTTCAATCCCATTCGCGTCTCTCGTGTCTTTCTCTCTCTGAGCTGCTGGCAGCGGATGTTAAGGGCCTGACTGGACTTTCTCTCTGTAATTCTGGCAGTTTTTGCTTTGTGTGTTCTGAGCTCTTAGTAGAAGTACGTGCATTTATGGGTGTCCTGTCTTCCTGACGAATCGATCCTCTTGTCATGATGTGATGTTCCCTTTTCTCTCAGAACATTCTCTGTCGTAAGTCTGCTTAGCTGATACCCGCAGAGCCGCTCCCAGTTTCTTTTGTTTCCACGTTTTTTTCCGTCCATTTTCTTTCAACTTGGCTGTATCTTTTTAAGTAGGGTCCATTATAGACAGCCTCTAGTGGGTCACGTCTTTTATCCGTTCTAAAGGCCTCTGCCTTTCCGGTGGTGCTGGTTCCCTCCTGCTTCCCGGAGCGGGTGTCACGTAGCACGCATGCCGTTGGCCTCGGCTCTGCCGCGCCGCTTGCTTTGCTTTCCTGCCTTTTGGGTTAGCGCACTAAGCTGAGTTTGTGCAGTTTATCTGATGGCCGTTTGGTTTCTTCTTTGCATTAATTTTTCGTGGTTTATGTAGGGATTACGACGTACATTCATAATGTTTCATGGTCCACTCAGAGTTCATAATGCATCAGTTCATATCAAATACAAAAACCTTGCAGCCATAAAGGCCCATTTAATCCCCTTCATCTTTTTTTTTTTTTGAGAGAGAGAGAGAGAGAGACCGTGCACAGATGGGGGGAGGGGCAGAGGAAGAGTGAGAATCTCAAGCAGACTCCACACCCAGCTGGGAGCCTGGCGAGCGCAGGGACCCAATCTCAGGACTCTGAGGTCCTGACCTGAGCTGAAATCAGGAGTCAGACGCTCAACGACCGAGCTGCCCAGGCGCTCTCTGCCTTTCGTCCTCCTTTGTCACGTTTTCAGAGCTGTCGTCCTATGTGCCCCCATCGTCCGCGGTTCTGCCTTTCCCTACAAACATTCTTGGCTGTTTGAGGAAGCTTGAGTTGCCCTTTACTTTGACCCTAGTGTTGACCATCCCTGGTGCTCCTCCTGCCTTTCCGAGGGCGAGAGCTTTCTTCTGCGTTCTCTTCAGCGTAATGAGTTCGCTTTGGTTTTGTTGTTGTTGTTTTTTAAGATTTTACTTGTTTATTTGACAGAGACATAGTGAGAAAGGAAATACAGGCAGGGGGATTGGGAGAGGGAGAAGCAGGCTCCCCACTGAGCAGAGAGCCTGACGTGCAGCTCAGTCCCAGGACCCTGAGCCCATGACCTGAGCCCAAGGCAGATGCTTAACAGCGGAGCCACCCAGACGCCCCAGTATCTTGAATTTGTAAAGCTTTGTTTTTTACTAAATTAGGGACATTTTAGGCCAGTCCTCAAAAATATTTTCTGTTCTGTAGTCCCCTCTCCTTTTGCACTTCAGTGTGTGGGTTTTTCGTATGGTCCTGTGGGGTCCCGGGACTCTCTTCTTTTTTTGGCAGTCTCCCCCTTCTGCAGTCTGTCCTCGGGTTCATGGGACGTCTGTCACCTTCAGTGTTCTGACCACCCAGCAGCCCCATACGTCAGATGTTCTGTTTTCAGATTGTAGAATTTTTGTTTGCTTTTTAAAAAATATCCATTACTATTCTTCTGCTGAGATTTCCCATCTTTTTATTTATTTCGTGTATATTTGGTATCCTTCATGGTTCCGAGAGCCGTCCTCAGAACCGTCATCTGCCGTTTCAACAACAAATCCTCTGGGGGTTGATCTTGGTGGCTCTTTCCTCTTCAGTACGGGTGACACTTCCTATTAGTATGATTAGTAATTTTGAACACCTCCCTGCCCCCAGGGACGTGTCGCGTTGTCAAGGATGTACTCTTGTGTCCGGCAAACCCGTGCTGCGCGCCTTCAGGCAGCCACAGAAACCTTGGCTGTCCTTCCCCGTCAGCCGGGCCTCGTGCAGCCCGCTCTTTGCCCGTGGGGTTCCCGTGTGAGCTCTGGCCCTTAGGTGCGAGGTTGAGGGCTCCCGCTCTGTGGCTTTCCCCTTCTAGGCTTGCTTCTTTCCCTTTCCGACCATGGTTGTCTGCAGATCTGCCCGCTGCCTAATCAAGAAGGTCAGACAGGGATCTTACCCGTGTGGCATGAGATGGGGACCTGCCACCAAAACACTCCGTGCCTTTCTTCTTTCCAAGTGTAGGCTCGCCTCCTTGAGGTCTGCCCTTGCTTCCTGCACCTTTAAGATGCTTCTTTATTTGTTTCAAAGATTTTATTTTTAAGCAGTCTCCACACCCACTGTGGGGCTTGAACTCATGACCCTGAGATTAAGAGCCAGCCAGGCACCCCTGTTTGTTTTGTATTTGTCCAGAGCTCCTGCTTGTTTTCTGTGGGAAAGTTGCTCCTCTGGGTGGGAACTGCTGCCCCACAGCCGGAGGCCGGGGTAGGCTCTCTGCACGGTCCTCGTGAGCCGCGTGATTCTGTCCAGGGAGCACACCTCATAAACCGCTTTGTTTCTCGCGCTGATGAGCTTCCAACACAGAAAAAACATATGTTCTTAATGTTTATCAGTCCCTGATTTATCCTCAGATTCAGTATATTGACTTCCATTTTTAATTAAGGCTTTAAAGTTTTTAACACTGCATTTGTCAAAAAAAGAAATATATGAGGCTTAGAGGAAATATTTTGCAATTTTTGTTTTCTTCCTATGTCACGAAATTTGACTTCCTGAGAGTTGAGTGGTTCCTTAAAAACATTTGGCCTCTTAAGAATATGTATTACTGGGGCGCCTGGGTGGGTGGCTCAGTGGGTTAAGCCTCTACCTTCAGCTCAGGTCGTGATCTCAGGGTCCTGGGATCGAGCCCTGCATCGGGCTCTCTGCTCAGCGGGGAGCCTGCTTCCTCCTCTCTCTCTGCCTGCCTCTCTGCCTGCTTGTGATCTGTGTCTGTCAAATAAATAAATAAAATCTTTATTTAAAAAAAAGTGTATGTATTATCTTCTTCAGACATGATACATAATTTTCATCTTCAAGTCAATAAAGGTTGAAATCTGATAAGCTTAAAATAATCTTATTTTAGTCAGAGGGTACAGGTGTGAACTGTTAATGGGTTCAGCACATCGCAGGGTTTATGGTCTTTGTCTCGTCTCAGACCAAGGCATCCGTCCGTCACTTAGGATGCCTCTCTCTGGCCTGAGCATCAAGTTGAGAACTCTTTGTTAAGCCATGGTGGGGACATTTTCTTGTAGAATCTTAGAAAGTACTCCTGTGAGTGCTGTTACCAACAGGCGTACTGAATCCTTCCTAGTGGCTGAGGCCCAGGATGGGAATCGTGCACTCAGCCTCGGGAATTAAGGCTCTTTGTAATCATTTGTGGCCTGCTCTTGTTTCCGTGCAACGTGAGGGTCCACATGGAACCAACAGAAGCTTCTTTCTGTAGAGTCAGCTACCCAGGGTTTGGATATCTCTGCCCGCACTTCAGAGAGGAGCACTTGACGGTGCTCCATCTTACAGAGCAGAGGATGCCTCTGGGAGTGGCTGGTGGACTGAGGTCCCAGTGATGGAGAGGAGAATTTATTATCATTAGTATAAATGTATTACACACAGAATACCACTTTCCAAGTGCTATTTGGTGGAAATCCTCATGTTTGAGAGTGAGGAGCTCCCTGAAGACTCACATCGGACGAAAGTGTCAGGCCTGGTGTCACAGACTGTTCTCAGAGCCGGTCCCTGCGTGCTAATGAGGAGAGAATGGACACCTGCTTTCAGAGGTCCCTTCCTTCCCAAACATGTCATTGCAGTGTGGACACAGTGCCCTTCCTGACATTAGACGCATAAACATTTTGATCAGGAGTTTAGCCAGAAATTTTCTGGGTACAATATGGTATGTTGTCTGTGACTGCCTAGCATTCCTGCCAAACCGGCTGTGGTGGCTAAAACTTTGTTTTGTAGGGATGGTTTGTTCATACAATCTGAGGCTGAATATTTTACATCCACGTGAGCGCGCAGTGACCAGACTCGCTCTGCACTAATGACTCGTTTCTCTGGCGCACGCCGGCAGACTCGGCTGTGGGCAGATCGTCACTCTGCCCCAGGGTTACCCCGGGCTGCTTGTTGGCACCGTCGTCGCTGGCAGTGAGTTAAATGTGACGTGCTTTGGGCTTTAGGCTTTGGGTGTGTGTGTCACAGTCTGGTCCCGCTGCCCACTAAGTAATCTCACGGATGGCTCTGTGGGGTCGGGCTGCCTGATGCCTGGCGGGGTGCAGGGTTCTTGGTGCTGTCTGCTCAGTGCTTGCCCCTTGGCTTCCCTCTGGATGGCTCCCTTGGCCTCCTTTCCATCTGGCCCGCTTAGCAGCTCCAGCAGAGAAAGAGCCTCTTTTTCTAGGGTGGCCGCAGGTCCTGGTCTGTGCCTGCCATTGGCCACGCTAGGTTCCACACCCACCCAGCCAGCCTCCTGGACAGACTGCCTAGATCCAGACCTCACACCATCCTGGAAGGATGATGGCAAACTGCCCAAAACCCCAAGCTCTGAGGGGACGAGGCCACACAGCCTTGTGAATGCATCCGAAGCTGTTTCTAACCTGCTTATGTTTTCGTCTGATTGCGTCTTCTGCCATTTACACTTTATAAATTTGTTTCTCTTTGGGTACCGTAAACTCTCTTAACTCTGACTTACTTACATACTTACTTATTTAAGAGAGGGAGGGAGAGAGGCAGGCTCCATGCCCAGCACAGAGCCCAATGCGGGGCTCGATCGCACGACCCAGAGATCTCGACGTGAGCCAAAATCAGTCAAACCCTTAATGACTGAACAACCCAGGCACCCCAAGCACTTCTGACTCTTAATAAAACCCTTCTTTGGCATTTCCTCACTCTCACATCTTTGAGTTACTTTGTCGTGTCTTTTTTCCCTTTTTAACCAAACTCCTCAAGCAGCTTGCTCGGTCTCTGCTCTCGGCCGCTGCATACACCGCAGAGGGAGGCAGGTGGTTTTCCCTCTAGCTTGGAGCTGGAAGGCGCTCCCTCCCAGAGCAGAAGCTGCCCAGATGCTGCACGAGCCCCTGCCTGGTGGGCGCCCGTGGTGGGGCCCTGTACCTCCACCTCCAGCTTCGACTCAGCCATGGTGCCCACCCTGGTGCCCTGGTGCTCTCCAGGGGCGGGCTGGCCTCAACCAGCACCACATGCTCGTTGGAGAAATTTGGGGAGATAACTTTAAATGCTCTTCCTTTGTGTTTTTAACCTGTAATCTCATCCAGAACTGTGATGTTTCAAAAGAGTCGAGCGAGACCCAGGGGCACCTGCGTGGCTCAGTGGGTGAAGCCTCTGCCTGTGGCTCGGGTCATGATCTCAGGGTCCTGGGATCGAGCCCCGCATCGGGCTCTCTGCTCAGCGGGGAGCCTGCTCCCCCTCTGTCTCTGCCTGCCTCTCTGCCTGCCTCTCTGCCTACTTGTGATCTCCGTCTGTCAAATAAATAAATAAAATCTTAAAAAAAAAAAAAAAAAGTTGAGAGAGCTCCATTGCCTGCTGATGTGTTCCTGTTGCTGGATATCTGGCCGTTTCCCATTTGTCAGTAGTGTGAACATTCTTGTAGGTGAATGACCCCTCAAGCTCATAGCCATTTTCTTGGGATAAGTTACCTTCATTGGGCCTTTGGTCTTGGGGGAGCCACATAAGTCACTTTTCTACCCACATTAGTACTCGGTTTTGCCCTCTCTGGGTCAGTAGCTTTTCCAATGCAGAAGTAAGTGTATTCGCTTTTCGAGCAACAGATTTCCAGCCAGACAACCTGCTCTGTCAGGACGTCCTGCCTCTGTCCTCCAGGCCTCGGCTGACAGCACTCCCTGATCTCCCCCTGGTCCCTGACCCAGGCGCCTGCTCTCTGCACTGCTGGTTTCAAGCCTCCTGTCTCTGGACTGTGGCAGCCTGGTCCCTGCCCCAGGCTGTCCCCAGCATGTCCTGACACTGTCCTCCATGGTTTCTTTGAGGGGCACAGGGACACCTTCGTGCCCGTGCACCTCCAGACTCAGCTCCCGTACTTGACAGCTGTGCTTTCCCAGCCCCTGTGTAGGCTCCCAAAAGACAGCAGTGCCGTTGGCAGGTCACTGGGTAGCACATCCTGAACTTGGTGCAGACCCCATATCCACAAACACACACACCTGCTGGGAGCTGTCTTCCCCTGAGGTAACCCCCTGTCCACGTACAGACACACATGTCTGCACCAAACACAGTCCTCCCAGGTCATGTATTCATTCTTCAGTAACAGAGTTGGTAACTGCCGACTTTTCAGAGCCCATGGAGTGCACACACAGCTCCGCTCCTGCTCTCTGGGACCACCCCCAGTTACTGGGGAGACTGGGGCTCATCACAGAACGTAGTGCTGCTCCAGCCACTGCCTGAGGACTGAGCCGTGTATTTCTGATTTCAGAGCCCACATTCTGTTTTCTTTCTTTTTCTTTTTCTTTTTTTTTTTTTTTTTGAGAGAGCGCAGGAAAGCGAGAGCGGGGCGGGGGGCCGGGCAGAGGGAGACTCTCAAGCAGACTTCCACCTGGCACAGAGCCCTCCACCTGGAAATTGGGACCTGAGCCAAAATTAAGAGTCGGCTGCTTTAACCTCCTGAGCCCCCCAGGTGCCCCTGAGTCCACGTTTTGAAGCCACTGACTGTGTCCAGCCCGGTGGCTCCTCTGAGGCTGTCCTGGTCTCACGGTGGGGCCACTGGTCAGGTGCACAGTGTGGATGTGGTATCGGGTGATCTCTCGGCACAGGCCACTGCTCACCTAGCTGGGCACTGATGCACCCCGGGGCTGCCTACTGTCCCTGTGGGTGGGTGTGACCTGGGCTCTGGGAAGTGCTTGACCATACATCCTTTTCTAGGCACATGGATAATGTTTAGAAGTTGTTATTGCTAAGTATTTTGGCAATATTTCTTAGATAAATGCTTTGTTTTCCCTGTATTCTTACACTTTCCATACCAATACTCTTCTTATGGGTTTCTTCTTTGTGTGTATTTTGTTTTTTATTTCACTGATTTGCACAGCGTCGTATGTGGCTCTGCTGTGGACTGGGAATAAGGATTTCTGGGCAAACGAGGCCGGGCGTCCTGTCCTTGCAAGAGAGGCAGTGTTGCTGCCCCTTCCATCTGACGCCTAGCCAGCTGGGGTGTGGGTGGCGCTGGCGCTGTGCTGGGCGGCGCTGGCGCTGTGCTGACCAGCCCACTGAGCACGCTCCTTCTGGGGTCAGATTGGTTGACCCTGTACTTCTAGTTCTTGGAGTCCCTTACAGTAGAACAAAATTGTGAACTGCAGTAAACAGAGCTAATTAAGTAGAAATCATAATGTGGAGGTACTGCAGAATCGGTTTCCTGGTTTACCTTTCCTCCTAGCACACGTCGGTGCAGGCTAGAGGTCTCCTACGTCCCAGCCTCAGCCTCCCAATCTCAGCTCCACAGCTCTGCCTCCCGCATGCTCAGCAGGGCGGGTGCTCGGGCAGCACACAGCTGCTCCCATGCCAGCCTCCGTACTGTAGCGTCCTGGAGAAAACAAATCCACTGCTCCACCTGGCACCCCAACCCCAGCTCTGTGCCTTCCCGGAGGGCTCGGGAGGCCTCTGCAGACCACCGTCTCCCCTTCCCCTAGCATGTGCTTGCTGTCTCTGCCCCTGGAGTGTGAGCTCCGGGAGGGAAAGGAGCGCTCCTTTGCTCACGGATGTGTTCCAGGTGCCGGGATGAGCTGGTGTGTGAGTGGGAAGGGAACCTCTGTCCCCGCATGTGGGCCAGAGGAGCGGAGGCGGAGTGTGTTCCCTGCATCTGCCTGTGTTCACCAGGGTGCGGGGCGGGCAGCTTACTGCCTCCCCTTTGTGTGGGGCCCACGCCTCCTGGCCTGTGGGCTGTGAGCCAGCAGTGCTGTGCGCGAGGCCCGGTGTCGCCAACAAGGCGGCCGTCTTCACCTGCACACGGGACTCCCAGGGGTAGTCCTTCTGCTGGAGTGTGTCTCTGTTTACAGGACCTTAGAGTTGGGGCGGGGCGGGGCTTGCAGATCGGGGCTGTCATCCGTGTTTGTTTTCCAGGTTACCTGTCCTGCTGCCGCTTCCTGGATGACAATCAGATCGTCACCAGCTCTGGGGACACCACCTGGTAAGCATCTGAGCGCCATGCCTTTCTCCCGCTGCTTGCCTTAGATGTGTAGGAAATAAGATTCTTGGCGTTAATTAGGCCATCTTTTATTAGTCTGAAGAGGCCGTGAGGCGGCAAACACAAGTGCGGGAGTGATGAGTGAGTTCATTGTACTCTGCAGACGTTAAAGCTCCAAGTTTAGTTTTGAACATGGAAGGACTGACTCACAGACGTTGAGGCTGCAGCTGTACGGGAAATGCCCATTTTTCTTTCCCTGCACATGCTCCCTGGCCGGCTGACACTCAGCAGTGCTCTGGGGGAGCGGGCGTGCTCGCCTGTGCTCTTGGTGGGACGCGGTGCCGCGTGGACCCGGCGGAGCTCTGGGCACAGGGGCGCGATGGCACGTGGACTGTGCGGACTTCCCCGAGTTCGAGCTGTTCCCTTGCCTAGAGTTAGAGTCTCTGGAACGTCTCCATTTGCGGCCCCAGGACGCACAGTGTATGTGATCAGATGGGTTGGTTGGTTTGCTTGTTGGTTTGTCTTGGTGCAGATCACATTTTTAATCATTTCCTGTTGAAAAGAGTAAGCCGTCTGCTGAGGCTGCAGGTTCACCTTAAGGGTTGTTAACATCATTTGGTTTGGTTCAGACAGGGATTTTAGGAGTCGTTTCAGGCTGAAACTCTCCTGGGGGCTTTTCTGGTCTTGAGACATGATGTGGTCGCATGCCCTGTGCTGGGGCCTGATTCCAGACCCAGCTGGTCCTCGTCTTCAAGGTGTCCTTTTTGTATAAACTTTGAAAGCCCACAAAAGAGGTGTAATCTAGATTGTCAGTTTTGGGAAGAATTTCTTTATTAGAAGATAATTTTTAAAGCTTTATCATTTACGAATAAGTGTTTTTCAGAGTCCTGGGCACGTTTTGTTCCCTCCCTGTAGTCCTTCAGGCCCCAGGCAAGGAACCCCACACGGTGTAGGTGTAAACGGTGTGAGTGGGTTTGCGTCGGAGCCGGAGGTCCTGGCAGGCTGGCATGGACTGAGCGGTTTTCAGTGGGGACGCTTCCTAGAGTCTGTAGCACAGAACATGGCACGTGCCGCCCTCGTGGCTCTGTCTACGTGTCACTGAACCCCCCCCCCCCCCCAGTTTGGAGCTGCTCGGTGGATGCCACTGGGCACCAGACGCAGGGCCGCTCGTGAGCCCTGTTCCATTTGTGGCTTTGTTTCCCTTCCACGCAGTCACATGACAGAATTTAGATTCTGTCGGGAGAAAAAGTGCAGAGGTCTGCTGTGGTCCTAGATGGTCTGAGGGACAGTTTGTCACATGACTGGTTATCTGACAGAGTGAGGTGACTGCTTGTCCTGTGTCCATGCTACAGTGCTCTGTGGGACATCGAGACCGGCCAGCAGACGACCACGTTCACTGGACACACTGGGGATGTTATGAGCCTCTCCCTTGCTCCTGACACCAGACTGTTTGTCTCTGGTGCTTGTGACGCTTCAGCCAAACTCTGGGATGTGCGAGAAGGGATGTGCCGGCAAACTTTCACCGGCCACGAGTCTGACATCAATGCCATCTGTGTGAGTAGGGGGTGAAGCTGTGGGTCCGGGGCCTTTGCAAGCCGTTAGCAAATTAGATTACTTCTTGTATGCTGCAGAACACATCAGGTTCTTAAATGTGTTCAGGGTTAGCAGTTCTGTTTTGTATGCACCTCTAACCTATTTTACGAAAAGTTCCCTGTAGCAGACGGAGGTGGGATGCATTCTGTCTTCGTGACACCAGCGAATTTTGTGCCACTGTTCACACTGGGGTTGGGCCTGTTGTGTGCAGGGACCTGCTCCCAGCCCCGGGGCAAGCCAGCGATCGGTACCCTGGCTTCCCTCTAGTTGGGGGGGCAAACGAGGCAGTAGTCAGCCCAGTCAGCACAGCGTCTTAGGAGCGGGAGGCAGAAGCTGAGCTCTGAGTAGGAACCTTACACCCTCGGTCCCTCCCTGAGGTTGGGGCACAGCCAGCGAAAGGAACCTTCCCTTCGCCACATCACCCTGATGTGAGGGGCTCTTGCGAGAAGATGTGAAGGGTGGGGTCTGGTTGGTTGGGGCTCAGGGTCCCTTCTCCACAAGGCTAGTCTGGCTGCTGGTGGCTCTCAGGGGTGACGGTGCTCTTCCTGATCCCCTGGGAAGTAGTTAATCGTGAAGCGTAGTCCAATCTTGGGAAGACAGCGGCTACGTCTGCCCCAGTACCGACATCCTCACGGTCAGGTGCCCAGGCAGCTGCCGCTCCGACCCACCGTGCTGGCCGGAGCCCAGCCCCTGCTGACCTTGCTGTCCCGTGCCAGCAAGAGCCCTGCTGTCGGGCAGTCCTGTTTCCAGAACTTCTCTTTGTGTATTTGCACACTCTCTTCACTTGCTTTCTAGTTCTTTCCAAACGGCAACGCATTTGCCACTGGCTCGGATGACGCCACCTGCAGGCTGTTTGACCTTCGTGCGGACCAGGAGCTCATGACTTACTCCCATGACAACATCATCTGCGGGATCACCTCCGTGTCTTTCTCCAAGAGCGGCCGCCTCCTCCTCGCGGGGTACGATGACTTCAACTGCAACGTGTGGGATGCACTCAAGGCCGACAGGGCAGGTAGGTGCTCGCTGGGCCCTCCTGGGCCTCCTGGGGGGCTCGGGTAGCACCTTCGAGGATGGACGTGATACACTGAGGCTGGAATGTTTAGCTCTGTGCCAGCCATGCTGCTAAGAAACACGCGCCTGCGTACGCCTGCCCGCCTCATGGCATGGCCCAGTGGAGGGCTGGGGGACAGGCCAGGGCGTGCATGCTCGGGCTGTCCGGGTGCACGGGCTTCCAGAGCGCCGGCATCTGCCCCCGCGCTTACTGTGTGCGGTGCCCGTGGACAGCCGTGTGAGGTGCTGGCTCTTCGGGGCCCTCGCCTCGCTTTCTGTCCCCTCTGGTTGTACGTGGTGGAACTGTGTCAGCCAAGTGTGGAGCACAGGCTTGGCCCGGTGTGCCCAGTGAAGCATGAAGTCTGAAGTTCACACATCAAAGGCAAGTGTGTGGTTGTCAAGTGCGTGAAAATTCAGCTTGTACAGGGGCGTCTGGCTGGCTCACTCGGTGAGGAGTGCGACTCTTGATCTCGGGGTTGTTCGTTCAGGCCCCACACAGGGTGTAGAGATTGCGTAAAAATGAAATATGTATGTGTGTATGTATGTATGAATTATTTCCTTTTAAGATTTATGTTTTTATTTTAGAGAGAGCACGAGCAGGGGGAGGGGACAGAGGAGAAGCGGACTTACCGCTGAGTGTGGAGGTGGACACAGAGCTCAGTCTCACCACCCTGAGATCATGACCCGAGCCGAAACCAACAGACGCTTAACTGACTGAGCCACCCAGGGGCCCCAAGAATAAAATCTTAAAAAGTAGTAATAAAATACAAGTTGCACAAAAGATGAGAAACTGTCTGTATTAAACATGGACAGTCAGGCAACTCCGTTGAATCGATACGTTTGGAATATTTCAATTCTGTATCTTGGCAGGGGAGGAACGGAGCATGACTCGGGGTCTCCTGGGGTTCTTATGTGACCTCCTAGTTTCCGATGGACCTTTCCCGCCCCGGGCTGCTCCCTCTCGAAGACCTCTTGCTCCCTCCGCCTCTGCCCCAGCCGTTCCCTGGTCGCGGCGCCATGGCAGAGAGCGCTGCTCCATCCGGCGAGGCTGTTTTCGCAGCTGGGACACTAGGGACTGTAGGAAATGGACCAGGGGTTCTCTGAAATCAGCCGACAGGAGGCCTGTCTCACTGTGGGTTCAGCGTGGGGTCGCCGTGTGACGTTCCGTTGGCCTTCTCCTTCCTGCATTTGTCACCAGCCCTCTGAGCCTTGTGCCTTGTGCTAGACTTCAGGGGTTATGATGAGGAACAGCCTATAGCCTTGCACTCTTGGGTCGCAGTTGCCCTGAGATTGAGATGGTTGGATTCGCTTTTGCTGAAAGATTTGCTTATTTTAGAGAGAGAGAGAGAGTGCACTAGTGGGAGGGACAGAGGGAGAGAGAAGCAGGCGGACTGCACACGGAGTGGGGATCCCAGCATCCCTTTCAGTCTCCTGACCCCGCGCTCGTGAGCGGAGCAGAAATCAAGAGTCCGACGCCCCACCGACGAGCCCCCCGTGCGCCCCTCATTTAAGGTTCTCGCCATCATGCGTACACTCAGGAGCTGGCACAAGAGGCCCTGAGTTCTCCGCTGCTTTGTGCCCTCCCTTCTGGGTCCGCTCCTTGTCCTGCTCTCCTCGCAGCAGACTTGGCCCCAGGGCTCCCTGCGCTCCGGGGGGCGGGGGGGCTTCTTCCCCAGCCGGAAGCGCCTGCGCTTGTTGCTCCGAGCTGTACTCGCCCTGGGGGAGCGCGGCTTCTCCTCCTCCTGGCCTCGTCCTTTCCTGTCACGGGGGCGTTGCAGGGGCTGGGCCTTAGGGCCCAGAGGTCCCGCGAGGTCCCGCCACCCAGCCCTGCGTCACATCACCATGTCACTGCCCGCTGGGGCGCCCTGGGTCCCGGGGTGACTGGCTGTCCTCTGCCCTCAGGTGTCTTGGCCGGGCACGACAACCGCGTCAGCTGCCTGGGGGTGACTGACGACGGGATGGCCGTGGCGACAGGGTCCTGGGATAGCTTCCTCAAGATCTGGAACTAACGACAGGTAACAGGACAGCCCAGCGTGCCCCTCACAGCACAGGGCGTTCGGGCTACCGGGGCTCCCGCCAGGAGCTGACCCGAAACTGTGGGGAGGTGAGGCCTCGGCCCCTGAGCGACGAGCCCTGGAGGCGGGGGCGGGAGGAAGAGCCGTGGCTCTGGCTCCAGGTGTTGGCTTTTTACGTTCCTTTAAACTGTTTCAAAACAGCAGGCAGACGTCGTGGCGACTGGAAGATCATTCCAACCTTGAAGCGTGACAGTGATAGCATTTCCAATCCACCCCTACTAACGCGGACGCCCTTCCCCCTCAGAACTTCAAAAGGGCAAGACCTTTTCCTTCACTTATTGCTGAAACCAAGAGCACAATTCCCACAAAGAGAAGAATCTCTGTGCTGTAAACTCAAGACAAATTGTGCATTCCTCCCGGGACCATTGTCTTTGTTTTCTTTTTTGTCTCAAATGAATTTAAAAGGAAATACTATAATAAACGTGCTAACCAGAAGGTAAACCTGAGTGTAATTGCGAGGCAGACACACCTTTTCACTAGTTCATTTGAATTTTAGGTCAGTGACCCTGTTTTGTGCTGTTCATGCAAAACAAGTTGAGGATTTTATCTTGTAATTGGTTCTGAATTTCAAGTCGTGTTCGTAACAGGATTTTGCAAACATTCACGTTCCCTTTTTAAAATCGATTCCTTTACGTCCGGTAGTTACACAGAGGAAGAGGGTGTGGTGCAGCCTCTCTGAAGTTGTTAATGATGTAAATTGAGTCCCTCACTTTTGAGTTTGTCTCCTGTCACATAATCGTTTCGCACAAACGCGGCTCAGAAAGGAAGATGCGAATAAGGAAAGGCACCAAGCACACGCTGCGGGCGGCCTTGGGTGCGCGATCAGGCACCTTCTGGCCCCGCCCTCCACCGTCCTCCTGCCTTCTCCGTTCAGTTCTTAATCTCACCTTGGGTTTCCTCGTGAAGCCACGAAGTCGGAGGGAGGTGGGTCACAAGAGCCCGACACTACCCTGCGCCCTGCCCCCCAGCCATCAGGAACCTCTGTTTTCCAGAGAGGCGCCCGTCCTGTGCTTGGATAGTCAGTCAATTATTTGTGTATGAAACCATGTACAAATCAATGTTTTGAAAATAATGATCTCAAACTTTCTAAGTTAAATTTTAAAAAATTTGATCGTTTGCCATATTGGGTGGGTTTACTCTTAGAATCGCATGCTGTAGAAATGCTCAAAAGCGCATACAGGACCCAGTCCTTAGATGTTGTTTTTCTTTTAAGAAATAACCTCTTTACAGTTGTAACCACTGCGGCTCTGCCCCTCATGGCTGCTCCGCACCAGCGTTGGAAGCCGGGCGGCCAGCAGCGCCACATGCTTGGGCAGCGGGATCGTCACTGTTTCTTTCTTTCTCTTGGGAAAAAAAAAAAAGTCCTGTTCCAAACGATCACTGTTGGATTCAGGGGCAGGGGTGGGGGGCAGGGACCGGAGACCCTGGCCTTCCTCTGTAACTTCCTCCTGGCCTGTCTCGGCCGTGGAGCCAGCCTTCTGCACCAATTCTGTAAGGAGGCCGATCGTTCTCGAACACAGACCTCCCCGGTCCCGCTGGAGGCCCGTGGCCGGCAGCAGTGTGGGGGACGGCAGTGCTGGGGGTGCCCCCTGCGCCCGAGCCCACTTCCCAGCAGTAGTGGTGGCTTCTCTCTGCCCGTGTCTGCAGCAGCCCGTGGAGAACCGTGCTGTGACGTGCAGCAGGCCTGGATCTGGCAGAGAGAAGGAGCACGAGCCCTCCCTCCTTTCCATCCACACCTCTGTAGCGCTCTCTGCACCCTGTGCCCCTCACTGTTTGTATTTAATTTTAAAGTCAGTGTATTGCAAGGAGGCTGGATGCAAGATAGATACTATATTAAACTGTACTGTTATTTAAGATGTAATAAAGCAGTTTGACATGAGGGACTTTGGTGTGGCTGCTTATTTGCCAGGCTGTTTGGGGTCCTGACGGCAGCCCTGTTGTCCTGGCCGCCCTGCTCTGGGAGGTCGGCTGGAGCTGGTCATGTGGGCTGTCCCACGGCTGCCCGTTTCTCTGCCAGGTCTTTCATCCCCATCACCAAGAGTCCATGAAAGCAGGGTCGGGTCCTCTGCCGGGTCCCCGCAGCTCTGCCACCACCCAGACCATGCCCCCCACCGCTCCCGACCTCTCGGGCCGCTGCCCAGGGTGCATGGGGTGTCCCCAGGTGGCCCTCCCTCCGGTCTCTTGTCTTCTGGGCCTGAGCCCCTTGCTTCTTCCTCTTCCCTCTGGAAGATGTCTGAGGGCGTTGCTCCTGCTGACTGTTTTTGATCTCTGTCTGGATAAAAAGAACTGCAGCTCGCTCAGAAGGAAAATAAGCATCTGCCACCAAAGCGTGAGCAGCAAGTCAGAACGGGCCCGCGCTCCCAAAGGCCCCACACCTGGGCGGCCCTGTTCCTTCCTCACTCTTCGTAGCTGTCAGCAGTAACCTGGTAGTTTTCATGGGTTAAATGTTGGTACTTTTTCATAAATAAGTGAAGACTGCTCTCCATGGGAAGTACTCCCACCTGAGTCTCTGTTCTCCCAATTATCAGCAAGATGGAGCAGCGGGGGCTTCCTGAGTGCTCCTGCGAGGACCAGGGGTGCTGTCTCCTCGGAGACTGGCAGCCTGAATGGTGGGTTTGCCTGGCTTCAACCTCCTCCCCCACAGCTCCTTGAAAGACACTGCCAGCTGTCTTACGAAATGCCAGAGAGCATCCGAGGTGCCCCTGGGGCTGACAGCCAGAGTCCTTGGGAGGGAGGTTCTCCTAGGATCAGAAAGCAGGTGGTTAGGGGTGCCTGGGTGGCTCAGTCAGTTAAAGCGGCTGCCCTCGGCTCAGGTCATGATCCCAGGGTCCTGGGCTCAAGCCCCACGTCAGGCTCTCTGCTCAGCAAGGGAATCTGCTTCTCCCTCTCCCTGCAACTCCGCCTGCTTGTGCACACGTGCTCTCTCGCTCCGTCTCTGTTCAATAAGTACAATGTTTAAAAAAAAAAAAAAAAAGAAAGGTGGTTAGCCTGCCCAGGGGCACACCCTGGAGTGGGCACGAAGTGGGCATGGGGTAAAATGGAACCTGGTAGCCCTCGGATGCCTACCTGTTCCCTCTCTCCGATGCCCCAGCCTGGCACCCAGCATGCCCCCTGTTCCCTGACCCCAGGGCAGAGAAGCTGACATGGCCTCTGCATGGTGTGGTCTCTGCTGGCTTTGACATTACTGCCCCACATACTCACCAAAGCAGTCACCGGAAACGGGCATCAGTAGGGGCATCTAGAAAGGGGCACCCGTGCTGCTTGGGTGGACTGTGCTAGTTCTCAACCTTCAGGCACAGAACTCAGGGTTGCCAAGACGGAGTGGACCCTTTAGCATTTGGCCTGTGCTGCTGGGAAAGTCCCGGGAAGTGACCTCTCGCTCTGTGCCACGTGTCCCCCCTCCAGGGTGCCCACCCTGCTCCCTTCCACTGCTCCAGTCTCCCCTGCAATCACCGCCCCTCCTGTTCCAGTCGTGGCCTTGCCCTTGGGGGCACACCTGTTGCAGGCACGCTGTCTAAGCCCCACACGGAGCCCTTGGAGGCTAGACTCCAGCTGGAGCCTCTCTCTGACTTCTAGGGCCCTGTCCCCACCACACCCACTCAGTGTTGTGCCCCAGATGGATACTGGGGTCTCCTGCCACCTCCCATAGACCCTGTCCCTCAACCTGGCCCCACCAGCCCTGGGGGCTGCCCAGAGGGTTATGCCGTCCAGGCAGTGTCTCCCTTCTTCCTAGCACTCTGTCTACCCCCACCACTGCCTGCTTCTTGAGTCCAGTCAACGCCCTTTCTAGAGCCAAGGGCAGACTGTGCCCTTCATGTCCTCGCTGCAGGTTACTTGGCCTATCTGTGCCCGGGATTCCCCGAGTGAAACCCACAGACAACAAAAGCACCTGCTTCCTTGAGCCCCTGTATGCAGGTGTCAGACCCCACCTGCCTCAGGCAGCCACCGCCTCTGCCCCACGGGGGCTCCTCCCAGCTGCTGGCAAGGCATGCCCCTTCACGGAACACCCCGGTGAGAAGCTGACCGTTCACTCGAAGATCTTTTTCCCTGCTGAACTGTGTGCATGACACTTCATAGGTCGGCAGGAAGAAGGGCTACTCCCCTCCATCCCCCAAAACCGCTCCAAACAGGACACTGCGACATTGGCAATTCCAGACACTGGCCCCTGGGAAGGAATGGCCATGCGGGAGGGGCTGGACTTGTCCCATGGGTACTAACCAGAGGCCTGAGGCTGGGGATGGAGGAGATGACCTCTGCATACCCCAAGACACCCCGTCCTCCACAGGGAGCCTTGATCCCTCCCTGCCACCCCTGTCACCCAAGGCTCCTGGCCACTTCCCCTTTTGAATACTGGGCAGTCTCTGTTCACCTCCCCCGACCCCTGCCAGGCACAGCTGAGGCCAACTTCCCTGTGAGCTGAGAGCACCCAGCTCCAACCGAGAGCCAGGACCACCAAACTGCACTCAAAATCCAGGACCCCCCACCCTACCTGAATGAGTCCAGGTCTGAGCAGGCAGCCTATCTGGTTCTACCTTCCATGGCCCAGGCTCCCTTATCCTACCACCTAACCCACTGACTCTGCTGTCCGCCATCATTCCATCCTCAGAAGACGGTGCATCTAGGTTTAGGGGTCTGAGGGTTCAATAAAACCAGAGTCACAAGTCACGTTTCAGAAAAATGCAAAGAAACAAATACTAGTGCTGGGAAAGCTTTACCTGAGAGCCTCTGAGGCAGAACCCCCAACCTCAGCCCAGCCCAAACTAACCTGCCTGGCATCCCCCACCCCCACACTGGCCTTTGTCCCTGCTGCTGGCCCTTCCCTCTCCCCAGCAGGCCTGGCTTATTCCTATTCCACCTTTGGACTCAGCCCAAGCAAAACTTCTAGGAAACTTCCGGTGCCCCAAGGAACCCCTCCCAGCGCTGGCTTCCATTATTGCTGGTCAGCCCTTGAGGGGGCTGGGTGGGGCTAGGGCCTGCTGGGAGAAATTGCACAATCTGGTCAGCGGAAGGAAGCCACAGCCCCCGTGTTCTCATCTCTGAAATGGGGAAGCACTCCCGTGTGAAGTCTGGAGGTCTACCGTGGACAGAGGCTTTCCATTACTATAGCTATCTGCACAAGTTCCCTTTACAGAGGGGCACATAGGAAGGGGCCTGCCATGTGACTTTGGCTAGTTACCAGACTGGCTTTCCTGCCCTGGTGCCCTCTCTATAGACTTCCTGCTCCAGAAGGTTCTTCGGAGGCTCAGTCCAGTCCCTAGAACATACTAAGTGCTGGATCAAGCATTAATTTTCTGTTAATGAACATGTGCAAAATACACAGCTCAAAAGGCTTCTCCCCCTGTGGGTGTGGCTGGCTGTCACTTTCGGGAAGTGGTTGGGTTTCCAAAATAACCAGATGGGGAAGTTACAGAGCTTGAGAAATCCCCCCAAGTTCCTGATATCCTTGCCCCCCTTTCTACTCACTCTTGGTGACCCCACTGCCCAGTGGTCCCAGGAGAGTAGTGAGACATGTCCCGTTTTGTGCCCATCTGTGTTTGGAGTCTCTGCACACAAGGCCGGAAGACCTCACCAGAGGAGACTGAGCACCGCAGGTATGTGGGCAGGGGAAACGCGTAGCCACGCTGCCGCAGAGGACTCCACTCCACACAAGGTGGGGAGCCCTGCGTGTACACACGCAATAACAGTGGGCACATGGGGAGCCAGGCAGGTCACCAAGGACCGAACGGTGCACTACCCCAGTTCTTCTACAGTGACCCCTTATTCGCAGACGTGTCCCTGGAGCCTGGCACACTGTTGGGACACCTAACTCCTGGGTGGACTGAGGGGGGAGTCCTGGAGCTCCACCTGAAGCTACAAAGTGGGTAACTGTGTCCTTGGTCCCCTTCCTCTCTCCTCTGTGTCCTCGAGTGGTGATGGTGAGGCGGGTGGGGGATGACGGTGCCAGCAGGTCACGCTGGAGGGGCCCCTTTGACATCCCAGGCCCAGAGCCTCTGTAGTCCCGGTGGCGTGTAGGGCCCCGCCAGGCTGCTTGGGGTGGGAGAGGCCCGCGGCGCCCCTCCCCCGCCGCACCCGCTGGCTGTCCAGAGGGGCCTCGCTGTCGCAGCTGCCCGCGACCAGTTTTAGTTCCCAAAACAGGTGCCTTCTGAGCAGATTCACACCCCGTCAGTGACGGCATCCTAAGCGGATGCTGTCACCCCTCGCGGGGATCAGCAGCCAGCCCACCCCGCCCGCGGTGGAAGGGAGCGCAGTGGCAAGGAGGCAGGGGCAAGGGGCGCGAGTGGACGTCCTGCCAACGCGGTGGGATAAGTGGGAACCAAGGTTCTTCTTCGCGGCGGCCGCTATCGGGGTCGCGGCAGCCGATGTCCCACCGCGGGCCTCCCGCCTCCAGCCCTATGGACCCCCCAGGCCGCAGCACCCCGCCTCCCCACCTCAGCCCCAGGTCCTTGCTCGCGGACCCACGTGCGAGGGCGGGGCGCATGCGCGGGGGCGGGGTGTACGCGCGGGGCGGGGCGAGGCGCATGCGTGGGGCGGGGCGTGCGCGAGGGGCGGGGCGCTTGCGTGGGCGGGGCGCGCGTGCGTACTGGCTGCATTGCTGCTCGGCGGGCCGGCGCCGGGGTCCCGGCGGCCGTGGGGCGCGGGGCGGCCATGGGGCGGGGGGAGGCCCCGGCGTCGGGGCCCGGCTAGCGACCGTGAGCGGCGGCGGGGCGGCGTGGCCTGCGGGCTCGACCCAGAGAGGGGACGGCCCCGCAAGCGCCCAGGGCAGCGAACGGTGAGTGCGCGCGGCCGGCCGGCCCGGCCCTCCGCCCGCGGTCGCCGTCGTCCGGGGTCGCGGGGCGGCCCGGGACCTGGGAGCGCGGGGACCGAGGCCGGGGGGGTCCTGCTCGCCGCCCGGGTGTGGGCCTGGGGGCGCGACGGCCGCCCTCGCCGGCCGCCTCCGGAGTCGGGTCGGCGGGCAGCCCGGAGGGTCGGGCCCTCGGGGGCAGGTGGGGTCGCCGCGCCCTCGGTGGCTGGGGGCGCCCGTCTGGCGACCGCAGCCGGGCCCGGCGCGAGCGAACGGATGCCCTGGGCCGGGATTCTGAGTAACAGGTTCCTGTTCCCCGCCCGCCCGGGGCGCGCCTCTGCCCCGCACCGCGGACCTGCTCGCTCGCCTGGGCTTGGCCCCGGGCCTTGGGGGGGCAGTTGTCGCCCGTCTGCGGACGACGCCCTCCGCGGACTCGCTCCCCGGGAGGCCGTCCCCGCCGCCCTGCCGTGCCCTCGCTGTGACCTTTGCCCCCGCCGCCGGCACCTGGGCAGGGTCGGGAGCCGGTGCCGCGGGCACTCAGTGGTGGCGCCGGAGGGGAGCCCTCGCCGCGGCTGGGCTCCTTGCGTCGGACTTGCTCCCGCTCTCGGGCCCCACCCGCCCCGGCCGCAGGGGAGGCAGCCGTCGGTTTCCCCGGGCTTTCCCCGTGGACGGCAGACGCAGGCGTTCGTGTCGGTTGTCGTGGGGTCCAACCCCGCGTCTTTATTCCCCGAAATCCCCGGACTTTTCTGAACGCGGACAGTCGCCGGGGGAGTTTCGGGGGGAGCCCGCCGGCGCCCGGGAGAGGCGGGAGCCGCGCCCGAGGGCCCGTCCGGCAGCCTCGCCGCTGCCCTCTCCACACCTGTTGAGGACACGAGGCCCCTCTGGCCGTCCAGGCTTCGGAGGGCCCCGCGCGTCGCTGTTCTGCTGGAGGCGCGACCGCCGGCTCCTGAGTGTCCCGCACGGGAGCGGCTGGAGAAGCAGCCCGGCGGGCCCCGCGGATGCGTGTCTGCGAACCGTGTTGCGGCGCGCGCTGGCGGCTGCCCGGCTGCCCTCAGAGCCGGCGGACCCCGCTCTTCTCACCCGCCGGGGAGAGCGCGGCCTCGCGTGTGTAACAGCCCCTTCCCGTCCCCGCCTGCTCCGCTCGTGGGGTCGCCGGTCAGGCTCCTGGCTCGGTGGCCGGAGAACGGCCCGGAAGGTCTCCCTCGGCTCGCACGCTGCCGGTGCGGACGCGGTGGGATCGCATCCCTGCCGGCCCTGGGCACCGCGGGTGGGAGGAGGGGAGCAAGCGCTTCTACACACCTGTGCACCTCCGCGCCCACTGGTGAGGTTCAACACTTTCCTGCTTCTGTCACCAAATAAGCTTTTCTTTTTCAGTCAGTATTTTTAACCAGGACAAACTGAGAGCTCTCAGTGGGTGTCACGGACGTCCCGTCGGTCTGTGGTGTGTGTCTGACTCCTGTCCTGGGTTTCTCACTGCCATCTCAGCCTGTCCCCTGCCCAGCATGTGTGACTTCTAGGAAACGTTGCTGCCCAACACTTTTCTCCTAATAAAATTCCCCAGTGCCAGAGTTTTTTAAAATTAGATTTGTGGGGGGCCTGGGGGGCTCAGTGGGTGAAGCCTCTGCCTTGGGCTCAGGTCATGATCCCAGGGTCCTGGGATCGAGCCCCACATCGGGCCTCTGCTCCGCAGGGAGCCTGCTTCCCCCTCTCCCCCTCTGCCTGCCTCTCTGCCTGCTTGTGATCTCTCTCTGTCAAATAAATAAAATATTTAAAAAAATAAAATAAAATTAGATTTGTGCTGTGGCGCCTGGCTGGCTCCTTTGGCGGGGTGTGCCGATCTTGATCTCAGGGTTATGAGTTTGAGCCCCATATTGAGTGCAGAGATGACTTAAAAATGAAACTCTTTTTTTTTTTTTAAAGATTTTGTTTATTTATTAGAGAACGGGACGGGGGGGGGGGGGGGGGGGGGGGGGGGGGGGGGAGACTCTGAAGCGGACTCTGCGCTGAGTTCAGAACCCGACGGAGGGCTCAATCTACAACAGCGAGATCATGACCTGAAGCTGAATCCCAGAGTGAGATGCCCAACTGACTGAGCCACCCAGGCACCCCTAAAAAAGAGACTTAAAAAAATAATCCTGTTAGGAATGTGCATGAATTTAGATGGAACTCGAATCTCATCCTTTTCAAACAGTTAAGGTACTGGAACAACCTTGTCATCGCATTAGTTTTTGTGAGTAAAGATGAACAGCTTCTAGATAATGGGTAATAGAAGATTTTTAAATATATTTGCCCTTTTGTAGTTTTGATAGGCTTATTTATTTTTTAAGATTTTATTTATTTATTTGACAGACAGAGATCACAAGCAGGCAGAGAGGCAGGCAGAGAGAGAGGGGGAAGCAGGCTCCCTGCTGAGCAGAGAGCCCGATGTGGGGCTTGATCCCAGGACCCTGGGATCATGACCTGAGCCGAAGGCAGAGGCTTAACCCACTGAGCCACCCAGGCGCCTGATAGGTTTATTTTTTTATTGTTTTGAAATAATTATAGATGGACAGGAAGTTGTGAAATAGTGCAGAGACCCTTGTAACCCCCCGACTTCATTTTACACACCCATAGAATAGTAATTTGTTTTAAAGAGAGACTGTGGGGCAGCCAGCTGCAGTCTGGCGATTGCACATGAAGCTGCTGGGAACACTCCCGAGCCGTGTTTATGTGGATGGACGTGTTTATTACTCTGAGATAAAAGCCAGCTTGCAATGGCTGGCTTCTGTACTTCTCTTTTTTAAGATTTTATAAGAAACTGCCGAACTTCCAGACTGACTGCCATTCGCACTCCAGCAGCGTGCGGTGAGTGACAGTCTCTCTGCAGTCTGGCTCTGGCTGTCTGAGCATCACGGCAGGTGTCGCGGCACTGGTGTCTGTATCTCCTGGTGGCCAGTGCCATGGAACTTCGTGTGCTTATGTGTGCATGGCTCGGCATCGTGCATCCTTTTTGCCCATTTTCTTTTCTTTCCTTTTTTTTTTTTTTTTTTTTTAAGATTTTTATTTGACAGACAGAGATCACAAGTAGGCAGAGAGGCAGGCAGAGAGAGAGGGGGAAGCAGGCTCCACGCTGAGCAGAGAGCCTGATGCGGGGCTCGATCCCAGGACCCTGGGATCATGACCCGAGCCGAAGGCAGAGGCTTAATCCACTGAGCCACCCAGGCAACCCTAAGGTTTTATTTTTAAGTTAACCTCTCCACCCAATGTGGGGCTTGAACTTACAGCCCCAAGACCACAGCTCCACCAGCCGAGCCAGCCAGGCAGCCTGCTCCTACATTTTCTAGTAAAAGTTTTACAGGTTGTGTTTTACACTTGACATAACCCATTTTGATTTGTGTTTAGTTAATGTTTGTTGGAAGTGTGAAGTTCAGGTTGAAGTTCACTCTTCTTTCCTCAGCTTTACGGACAAATAACTGACACACATCACTGTGTGAACCTGAGCAGACCGCGTTTTTCCGGTACAAAGCGTTGTCCGAGAGGCTCGGCGCGGTCGAGTTGTTAAGCTGTGCCTGGAAGCTGAGATGTCGTCGCCTGCGAGCTCGGCCGCAGACCAGTTTGTACTCAGCACTTCTCCCGGGGCGTGCGGGGAGCTGGTGGAAGGTGATCTGGGCCTGGTTGAAATGCGGCTTAGCACACCACGTGCTGCATATTGAGAACTCTCGCCTGTGCACCGTGGCCTTGAACAGGGGCTTAGGAGCATGGGCCCAGATGCCAGCTCTGCCCCATCCTAGCTGTGTGACCCTGGGCCTCTGTGTCCTAGACACGCCCGTGCGTCTCATTTGTCAGGTGCCACGAGGTGAGCGCTCGGTTGGGACCTGGCAGGATGGGCACCGGACCTAGATGTATTTCTGCTGCTTGCCGGCTGTCCTAGTCTTGGATGAGGGTCCATATTCCTGCAGACAGCCCTGCTTCCGCTTCTCCTCCGTTCTTAGACGGACGGCAGTGCACCTGCCGGCCAACAGCACGGCCCTGGCTGGGCTCCCCTCATGGAGGTGGCCTTCACCCATGTTTGGGTAGTAGCTAGCCTGTGTGTCACCAGTTAGCCTGTCCTTCCTTTCTCAGACATCTTTGGTTCCGACCATGCTGGTTATTTCCTTTTAAAGGTTGCACTGTTACAACTCGCCTAGTAGGCTCCTTTAACTGATGTGCCTCTTTCGTCCTTTCTTGGCAGTAAGCAGCTCCGAGTCCCATGCACGGTGAGGCGTTTCAGCGGCCGAGCGCTGGAGCTGCGGGTCCGGAGAGGACTGGGCTGGCCCCACCTCTCAGGGCGGCAGGTGAGGCTGCTGCAAGGCCTCTCGGCCCCCGCGCAGAACTGAAGCTGCCCCTACTTTGCTAGTGTGTTTGCGTGTTTGTTTTAATTCATGCAGAGTTGTCAACACAAAGTGAACAAACCTTTTAGAGTCAAAGTTGGAGGGCCTGGATGGCCCAGTCAGTGACTCTTGATTTCGGCTAAGGTCACGAACTCAGGGTTGTGAGGTCAAGTACCAGGTCAGGCTCTGCTCCCAACGGGGAGTCTGTTTGAGATTCTCCCTCTGACCCTCCCGCCCTGCACTTGCGCACGTGCACGCTCTCTTTCTCGAATAAATAAATCTAAAAAAAAAAAAAAATCTCTAGAAGTGAAAAAGTTTTATTTGAGCTCAAGTTAGGACGGTTGCCCTGGAAATGCATCTTCATAGGGAAGAAGGCACTCCAGGAAATGAATGATTTTTGTGGCATAATATACTTTTTACATCTTGTAAAAGCTTAAAAGATTATAGATCACGTAGGCAGGAGTCACAAGTTTGTCGGGACAGACTGCGGGCAGCGGGAGCGCTGACGGACATCTCGAGGACGAGCTGATTCTCCTTAGGCTGCTCCTTCGGCAGGTGTACAGTGCATGCGTGGGGGCCGTAAATCAGACTTTGGTTTGAGCGAAGTTGACGTACAGTCCTGTTGACTTAACTCTAAGATGGTTTCCCTTGTATGTCAGACCCTTCGAGGGTTTTCCTCTCGTCATAGAGGGCGCACGGCGTCGACTCAGCAGTTTCTGGAGGTCACTCAGGGTTCACCGACGTCAGTGCAGTCACCGTCTGTAACCGTTCAGCATTATGACGCTATGATTTTATATAAACATATTTATGTCTTAAAAGCTATTGATTTGTCAGAGAGAGAGAGAGACAGAGAGAGGGAGAGCATGTGCCCGCAAGCAGGGAGAGCAGCAGGCAGGGGAGAGGCAGGCTTCCGGCTGAGCAGGGAGCCCGATCTGGGGCTCGATCCCGGGACCCTGGGGTCATGTATGACCTGAGCCGAAGGCAGAGCTTAACTGATTGAGCCTCCCAGGCGCCCCGGGCCCTAGTGAGGACCACGTAAATTACAAAAGAGAAGCACTTGGGGTGGTGCTATGCGAGGAGAAGGTGCTCAGGTAAGTCACTGATGACGCTGCCTTTGCGTAGTTCTGATGCGGTAACGGGGTAAACATGCACGTCATTTTTTTCACGTATTGAACAAAACTGTGCCATCTTGAGTCTCTTACCAGTTTGTCCTGGCACTTTTTTGGGCCCCGCCCGGCCTTTCTGTCCTCCCCTCCTGGCACTTGGTGCCGCCCCCAGTTGTGCCTCCTGAAATCCTCGCCGCTCTTGCGTTCTCCACCTCGCGCTGCCGGTTTCCTCCCAGACTTCTCTCCTGACCCTTCCATGTGGCTCCTAAATGGGGCCCTGCCCCAGATTCAGCCCTTGGGTCTCCTGCCCACCCCCTAGGGAGTCCATTTCGTTCTAGTTCTAGTCCATCTAGTTCCAGGGCTGTAAGCACTCACCACGTGCTGATAGAGCCCGGATCTCTGTGCCCAGACCAGCCTGTCCCCAGAGCTCTGACCTTAAACGTACAGCTGCCTGCTTGTCTTCTCCTTGTCTTGGCCGGCAATAACCGTGTGAATTCGGTGAGGCTCCTTGCAGGCCGGGAGAGCCTCAGTAACACAGAATTTCTGGAGCTTCCATTCTCAGAAGGGGAAGGAGACAGGCCACAAATGAGGGTCATCTAGCCGGCTCAGTCGGTGGAAGGAGTGAGTCTTTTTGTTTTTTTTAAGATTTTATTTATTCATTTAACAGAGAGAGATCACAAATAGGCAGGGAGGCAGGCAGAGAGAGAGGGGGAAGCAAGCTCCCTGCTGAGCAGAGAGCCCGATGCGGGGCTCGATCCCAGGACCCTGAGATCATGACCCAAGCCGAAGGCAGAGGCTTCACCCGTTGAGTCCCCCAGGTGCCTCTCTTAACATAATTCTTAAGGACACTTGGATTTTCTCAGTGATCAGGGAGCGTTGGCTTCAACCTAAAGTCACCAGCTACGTTGGCCCCTGACAAGAGAGTCAGCCTGTGGGGTACCTGGGTGGCTCAGTGGGTTAAGCCTCTGCCTTCAGCTCAGGTCACGATCCCAGGGTCCTGGAATCGAGCCCCACATGGGGCTCTCTGCTCAGCAGGGAGCCTGCTTCCTCCCTGCCTCTCTGCCTACCTGTGATCTCTGTCTGTCAAATAAATAAATAAAATCTTAAAAAAAAAAAAAAAAGTCAGCCTGTCCTTTGAAGGTTTGAAGTCAGGCAGTGACTTCTACTCTCTGGCTAAGACAGCCCTAGATGGCATCTTCTCCCAAAGTCAGGAGGCTTTGTCTCCATTGAAAATCTGTTAAGGCAGCCACCTTCACTGGTGATCTCTGCTGGACCTTCTGGAGAACTTGACGCTGCTTCCGCACCGGCAGGTGCTTCTCTGCGTGTACTTTCGCATCACAGAGATGGCTTCTGTCTGTTCAAAGCAGCCTCTGCTGGCTTCGCGCTCCCATTCTGCAGCTTCCCCCCGTCTCTCAGCCTTTACAGAGTCCAGGAGAGTCAGGGCTTTCCTTTGGATTAGACTGTGGCTGGTTTCATTTGATCTTAGCCAAAAGGCCAGAAGCGATAGCCTGTGGCTGGTTTTGATCAGCAATAAGGCTGTTTTGCTTTCTTGTCTGTGTGTTCCCTGGAGTGACACTTCAGGAGTGTCTCCTTTGAACTCACGGCTCGGCCCACTGGGGCAAGAGGCTGACTTTTGGCCCATCCCGGTTTTCAGCTTTCCTCACTGCCCTGTGTCATGTCTAGCTTTGATTTAAAGTGAGAGATGCGCAGAGGGCCTGGCCGGCTGGCGCGGTCAATAAACTGTGTGACTCTCGATCTCAGGGTCATGAGTTCAGGCCCCAAGTTGGGCATGGAGCCTACTTTAAAAAAAACAGATAAGTGATGTGAGAGATGGGCCACTCTTCCTTTCACTTGACCACTTAGAGGCCGTTGTAAGGGTATTGGTCGGCCCGGTTTCAGTATTGTTTTGTCTGAGGGAGTAGGGAGGCCTGAGGAAGGGAAAGGGCTGGACCAGCCAGTCAGTGGAATAGTCAAAACACAGGCAACGCTTAACCCCTTGAGTTTGCTGTCTTAAAGGGGTGCAAGGGAGTGGTGCCCCAGCACAGTTATCACTGATCACAGACCGCCGTAACGAATAGGATAGTGAAAAACTTAGAAATATTGCAAGAATTACTATAGTGTGACACAGAGACACAAAGTGAATGAGCGATGCTGGTGAGAAAATGGTGCTGGTAGATGCGCTTGGCACAGGACAGCCACAGACCCTCAATTTGTAGAAAATGTCGTGTGTAATGCCTGTGGGTGGGGTGAGGAAAGAGTTTGACTTCATTCTTCTAGGCACGGCTGTCAAATTTTTGTCGCATTGCTTAAGGAAAAGATGCTCTGTCCGTCGGATCCCCTTGGCGCGTCTGTTGAAGATCCAGTGATCGAGGAGCCTGGCCGGCTTGGTTGGAAAAGCATGTGACTCCTGGTCTCAGGGTTGTGGATTTGAACCCCACATTGGGTGTAGGCATCACTTTATTACAAGTAAATTTAATTTAAAAAGAAAATCTGTCGGTCGTACCTGTGTGAGGGCGGTATTTTGGAATTTGTTCGGCTTCCTTGATCTGCATGTGTGTCAGTACCGCGCTGTCTGGGGGCAGTAGCGTGACTGCAGATCATGAAGTCAGGAAATACTAGTCTTACTTTGTTCTTTTTCAGTTTTTTTAGCTATTCTAGGCCTAGGTCATCCACATTTCCATGTGAGCTCTAGAATCCGTTTGTCTTTTCTTTTTAAGAAAGAGAGAGAGCGTGGGTTGGGGGTGGTGTCGAGGCAGAGACAGTCTCAGGCAGACCCTGCACTGAGGGTGGCGCCTGGCGCGGGGTTCGGTCTCCCAACCTCGAGACCGGGGCCTGAGTCAAAATCAAGAGTCGGACGTTTCAGGCTCTGCAGTCAGCATGCGGTCGGGTTGGGATGCTCTCTCCCTTGCCCCTCCTACTTGTGCTCCCTCCCTTCTTCCGTCTGTCCCCCTCTCTCTCAAATTGAAAAAAGGGAGAGACAGACACTTAACCAACTGAGCCACCCAGTTCGTCATTTTCTGTAGAAGAGGCTGCAGGGGTTTGTGTTAACCAAAATTTAATTTTGGGAATTGTGGAGAGCCCAAGTCAGTTCGAGAACTGAAATCTAACCATGTCAGCCTCTCTGATCTGTGGACGTGCTTTGGTCTTCACTCTTTGCTTCCGTTCATTTCTGTCAGCAGCTTTCGTAGTCCCCGGTGTACAGGTTCTGTGCTGCTCCTAGGGAGACGCCACGGATCCACGGCCCCCCGGTCTCGGGTGCGCCATGTGCTGATGCGATGTGAATGCGTCGGGACGTGGCCGCTGCGGTGGGTCTGGTTAACGTCCCATCAGCACACGGTCAGATAGTGTGTTCTTAGGGTGACAGCTCGTGTCGCAGCGACGTTCAGGTGTATGCTCCGTTACAGTTTCCTGGAGCCACACGCTCTGCACTACATCCACACCTGACTTTATAGCTCGAGTTAGGCTCTCTACCTCTTTTGCCAACTATTTCCTTATATAGCTTATGTTTCAGTGCTTTGCAAATGGTATTTTTGTTAATTTTTTTTAAGGCTCATCTGTTTATTTCAGAGAGAGTGTGCACAAGCGGGGGGAAGAGGCAGAGGGAGAGGGAGAGAGTGCCCAAGCAGACTCCCCGCCGAGTACAGAGCCCAGTGCGGGGCTCGGTCCCAGGAACCCAAGATAATGACCTGAGCGGAAACCAAGAGTCAGCTGCTTAACCGAGCTAATAAACTCACTTATTGGACATAGTCACTTTTTTGTAGACCTTTCTGTATAGAAGACCATGTCATCTGACAGTACAATTTTTTAAGTAATCTCTGAACCAGTGTGGGGCTTGAACTCATAATCCCAAGATCAAGACTTGAACTCACAACCCTAGGACTGAGCCAGCCGGGTGCCCCGACACTGCAGTTTGACCGGTTCCTTTTTCATCCTTATGGCTTTTACTTCGTTTTCCTATCTTGTTACACTGGCTATGCTGTCTGGTACAGTACCGAATGGGGGTGGTTGGATCAGACATGTTCTTGTAGGTTTGGGGTTTGAGTAATGATTTTTTTCATGCTTGGTTAAAACGTCCGCGTTCCTCAAGGTGTGAGGGTCCTGGTCCACTAGGGCAGTGTTGTCAGCTCTAGCTAAAATTTAGAATCACCTGGGAAGCTTTTCTTTTTTTAAAGGTTTTATTTATTTGAGAGCGAGTGAGTGAGACGGAGAGAACACAAGGTGGGGGGAGAGGGAGAGGGAGACTCCCCGCTGAGCAAGCAGCTGGACGTGTGGCTGGGGGACGTGGGGCTCCGCCCTGGGGCTCCATCCGAGGACCCCGGGAATCATGACCTGAGCCAAAGGCAATGGCTTCACCTTCTGAGCCCCCCAGGCGCCCCCAGCTGGGAGCTCATACAACTACTGATGCCGTCAGTCCGGGCTGGGTGTGGGAATGATTCCCTGAAACCCCTCCAGTAGCTGTAAGGTGAGGTCAGGGTAGGGGTGCAGGGGCGCCATCAGCTTTCTCCTGCCACAGAGGCCCGGGCTTGTCTGTGGTCTCTGAGGGTCCCTTCTGCCCCCGCCGCTCCGCATTCACCTCCTGCGGGGCCGTCATCCTCTGACACGTCCTCAGCCCCTCCTTGGGAACGGGGGTTTTCTGTGCGCTCCAGTCTCTGCTGGGGCCTTCGTTTGCCTCGCTTGTCCCTGCAGTGGGGGCTGTGTGGCTGGTTATCCTGCTGGCTCCCTGAGTGCCACCTGCTCATGCCCGCGACAAGCCTGTGCCGCCTGCTCTCCCCCCAGGCAGGTCCGGGCGGCTCCATAGCTGCAGGACCCTCGCCGTGACCCTGTGGTGGCCCTTCCCGTCCTTGGAGAATTCCCCATTTGGTCCCTTGATCTACACTGGGTTTTCGTCAAACTCCGCCCTTCTTTTTCCATTGTTCAGTGTACTGATGTCTGCCTCTCTTTGTTGCCGCTTCTGCCTTTCTTAAACTTATTTTATTCCTTTTCTAGCTTTTAAGAATCTCGGCTCGTTACTCTTCATTCTCGAAAACTCCAGCACACCTTAGCGGGGCGGCATAGACTTTGGTTTGCGTTCGTACTATTCTGGTCCTTTCGATGACTTGCAGTGTTGGTTTGAGCCCCAAGAGGCTTGGGACAAAGTTGAGGCGGTTCCGGATGGTTGCAGGATTGTTTTCTTTGTTCCTACTTTTTGGTCTTTTCCTGATTTTATTGTACTGTGGTTGGATGGTAAGGTTCTCTGCCTTACTAGTGTTTGGAAATTGGTGTTTTCTTTGAGGCTACAAGACGTCCGTTTTGGCAGATGCTGTACCTGCTCGTTCACAGGGCCTAGAGTCCAGCGTGTGCCCGCTGGTCTGTCTTACTGAGTGACCCATTCCGCTCTGCGGCCCCGAGAGGCAGTGGTGCGCGGTGTCCCCGCCGGTGACTGCTCCTCTTGCCAGCACTGGGCCTTGTCTGTGGGAGAAGCACCACAGCTGCAGCCTGCTAGCTCTTTCTTACCCTGCGACCCTTAGGTCTTCTGGATTCTCTGGAAACACAGGTAGGTTCCTGAGCTCTTAACCATCTTTGGGAGAGAAAGAGACTGTTCTCAAGTCCTTCGGCAGATGGGACTACAGCTGTTTTTTCTCCTGGTGGAACGGGTGCGTCTCTGTGTATATAGTGTTTTCTGCCTGCATATTTATTTACTTTATTTGTTTTATTAAATTAAGGCGTCAGTGTTTTTCTGACCGGAGCCCTTGTTTACCGACTGTGGAAACGGAACACGAGAAAGTCAACATGAGTAAGGCGCAGAGCGCAGATCCCGCCTCATACCGCTGCTCCGCGTGCCATGGGGACGAGGACTGGGGGCCCAACCACCCCATCCGGGGCCGGGCCAAGTCCCGCAGCCTGTCTGCCTCGCCCGCCCTGGCGAGCACCAAAGAGTTCAGGTACGAAGCCCTCCCCCAGCCGCCACCCTGTGCGGAAAACACGGCGGCGTGTGTCCCAGAGCAGCTGGCGCGGCTCCCCAGGGGCACCTGCCCAGGACGGTTCCTTTCCTTCCCCTCTCGGCCAGCGCCCGCCCAACTTTTGGTGTCTGAGGCGTGAGGGTGGCCCCTGAAGGCACAGCAGCGGGACCCACGCGGTGGCGGGGCTGGCACGGGGCTGCGTGTGGCCGCAGGGGAGTTGGGTAAGCGCCCCGGCCTGGCCCGCGCCCCGCAGCGCGTGCTCTTGCACAAGAGCTTGAGCAACAGCTGCCCACGAGGCGGCCGGCCGGGCCTGCTGTGCTGGTGGTGCCGCTGCCCTGGCTGCTGGGGCCACGGCCGGGGTGAGTTTGGGGAGGAAGCGGCCAGAGCCGACACTGCTTCTCAAGCGGGTCCCACCTCTCAGACGCGAGGGCGCTTTCGGGGTGGTGGGCGGGGAAGCGCCGCCTTTTCTCAGGGCAGCGCCTTCCCTCGGTGGCGAGTGGGGGGGTGGCACGCAGGCCGTTCCCCATGTGGAAAGCTCTAGAGCGCGCGTGGGAGCGGCCGTGCTGCTGCAGCTTCCAGGCGGTGCAGAGCTCCGCGTTCCGGCCGCTCTGCGACCGCCTGTCGGTCCTGTGTGGCTCGGCTCCCCCCCCAGTTCTGAGGCTGGGCAGCGGGGTGCAGCGACAGCGGGTCAGAGGGGGCCCCTGCGGAGGAGGCAGATGGGCGTGTGTCCTGTCCTGCGGGTCCTTGAGCCCGCTGGTGAGGCCCGCGGCGAGCTGAGCTGCCTTTCCTCTGGGCCTGTGCGGGGCCTGCAAGCCGTAGCTTTCCCCGGACTCCAGGGCTCTCTCGGAGGTCGGGTGCCCTTTCCGAGACAGCTAGAAAATCTGTTTGTCTGCGTTGAATTCGAAGATTTTGTGGACCCCACAAGACAGTTGAAGATGCTCCCTTCGGCCATCTTTGGGTGCAGAAGGGGACGGCGAGGCCATTGGGGTTGAACACGTTCCATTACCCTGTCACTGCGCGGATGTCCCTGTCGCTCCCTCCAGCCTGTGCCAGGGTGGGCGTTGAGCCCTCTCGAGCAGGGAGGGGGCAGGCCAGCCAGGTGGTGGTGTCCCCGTAACGTGAGCTGGCCACAGCCACTTTGTTTGGTGATTGGATTATGGCTGAGTCACATTTCAGTTATTGGAGAAGTTGGGCCGTTCGAGTAGTATCTTTTTTAGTGACTGTGCAACTCAGCATGAGCACTTTTGTTAGAATTTTCATCTAGGTCATTAAGGGTTGGTCTCTCAGGTTTTGATTCCCAAGTATAGGCTGGAGGACCGGTCACCAGACAGTCTTGGTCAGAGGGACTGCTCAGATTCCGAGTTCCAGGCCTGTCCCCAGAGGGAGTTTTCCCTGTTCCTGGGGTAGGGCCTGGGCACCCGCCCTGGTTTGGGGGCCTTTCTCTGAGGCGCGCTCCGACTGTTGATGCTACACAGACAGCGTGTGGCGCTCCAGGGCGGGATCTCCTGGGGCTGCCACTGGATGCTGGGCAAATGATGGGAGTAAAGTCATTATGATTAAAAGCCTTTCTAGAGTCTAACAGTCCATTAGGTCTGCTCACCGGCTGTGTCCCCTCTCCCCACAGGAGGACTCGCTCTCTGCATGGGCCATGCCCGGTGACCACATTTGGACCAAAGGCCTGCGTGCTGCAGAACCCCCAGACCATCATGTGAGTGCGGGGGGGTTCCTTGGGGGCCTGTGCTGTCGTGGGGTCACGGCACTGGGGAAGGTTCTGACTCCAGGTGAGAAGTGTACTTTTCTAGTCAGGGAAGCCACGGGGCATCCGCCGGCTCCAGCGAGCGCGGGCCTCTCTGCCTTCCCGCCGGTGGCTGGGGGTCAGGTAGGTCCTGCTCCCCCGGCACCGCAGCTGGACGACTTCAGCTACTTCAGCTGCCGTCTTCAGAGTTACTGTTTCGTTTTGACAATGAAAAGTGTAGGAGGAAACAACGTATTTCACACAGGAATAGGGTCAGACATGCTTCTCCGTTGATTTGATTTGATTTTTTTTTTGAGAGGGAGGGAGAGCACAAGGTGGCGGGAGCAGGAGCGGGCAAGCAGGCTCCCCGCCGAGCAGAGAGCCCGATGCGGGGCTCCATCCCAGGTCCCCAGATCATGACCTGAGCCAAAGGTAGAGGCTTCACCCGCTGAGCCCACTGGGCCTCCTTTAATTATTCTTCAGACAGACGTGGGCCGGCTCTGTGGGGCTCCTGCGTTCACTTTGAGAGAAGTGCCTCCTTGTGGCTGTTACAGGTGCTCCCAGGCCACTGGGCCGTCGCCCCGCAGTGCCTGGATGAGAAACTATAACAATGAAGCAATCAGGGTCATTTCTCTGGACTCAGTGACTGTCCGGCTTCTCACGTCCGAAGAGTCCCATGGTTCCAGAAGGCTGGGAGCTCCGTAAGGCCGCTGTATGGTGGTCTGGCTGTGCTTCATGTCTGAGGAAAACGCGCTGACGCCACTTACCTGGCGTTGGTGCTTTCTGTGAAACGGTCAGAATTCCATCCCACCCTGAGCCTTGTGCCTGGCACCTGTGGGAGCTCCCCAGGCCCTACAATCTAGGCCTTTTGAGGGGCCCTCACAGGCTCCTTTCCTTCAGGGCAAGCTGTGGGGATCCCACATTTTGCACAGGGGTGAGAGCCGCAGGCTCAGGTGTGCCTCCTTGACTGACTTGTCTGGGGTCCCAGGAGGCAGGCCCTGCAGTGGGGACCCGCTGGCCTCGGGTCACAGGCTGAACCGGTTCCAGGTGACTAGTGTAGTGCTGCCACCTCCAGGCTCCCCAGGCGAGTGCCGTGTAAACTGCTAGGTCCCATGACCAGGAAACCCAGCGACAAGGCTGTCCCACTTCTTACAGGGCGCAGGAATGAAGTCTTAGTGTCTCTGTCAGATCCAGGCGCTGTCTGCGGCTGCTGGTTACTGCAAAGCTCGGGGCAGGTCCTGTCCAGACACCACCCCTCTAGTACCCTACGACCCGCCCTGCACTGCAGCCACATTGGTAACCTGCCCCCCCCCCCAGCGCCCCCAAACTCAGAGCCCCAGCAGCCTGCTGCTGTGCCAAGCCCTGCCATCTCCCGTGCCCCATGCCTTCCTGTTTGCTCTGGCCCAGCCTGGCTCTCCCTTGGCCTTTCACCAACTGCCCAAGGGCCCCTCCCAGCACTTCCTGGTCTTGGCAGACCTGTTCTCTCCTTGTCACTCTGCTCAGCCCAACTGCCACCACGAGTGGCCTCTCACTGTCCAGCCTTGATTAGCCATCCTGTACTCCCAGCCGAGCCACAGTCACTTTGTTGGGGGCGGGGGGGTCAGCCTTGTGAGCCTCAGGTGGGTTAGATGGGCTGGTTCCGGCGGGTGCTCCAAGCAGAATGGCAGATGCCCCAAAGGGTCTCTGGGGCTACAGGTTGGAGCTGAGGAAGGAACAGCCTCGTCTGCTCTTTCCAGCCCCTGTGCCCGACACTTCTGTTGGGGCTGCTGCTGTCTCTGGATGCCAGGGCTCCTTTTCCCCACCTTGGACCTGCCCCCTTCCAGCACTGCACCTGGCTGAGGCTCTAAGTGTCCTGACCTAACTTCTCTAATGCTCGAAAGTAAGATAGGATATCGATGACGGAGAACTTTTACGTCCTAATTACTGTCTGAAATTTTACCGTGAATGCTTGTGTGTTTTCTTTTATGTTGAAATGTGTGGAGTTGCCAACATGTCTTTGCCTTTGGCTTACTAGGCAGTGGCTCCAGTCGGTCACCTGTTAGCTCACAGGCGTCCTCCCTCTCCCGTCCGGCATCCACGACCTGTATGCCGGGGAAGGGTCACATCCCCACCTTGTCGTGACCCAGCGGGAGGCTGATCACAGTTGACACCCAGGCCTGTGCAGGACACACTGTGGTGGCTTTGCCTGGGCACAGTCTCAGGGCCAGAGGGGCCACAGGCCCTGCACACCTGGGTCAGCACAAAGGGGCTTCGACCCAGGCAAAGGTCTGTGAGCTGCCCACATTGCTTCTGAGGCCCACGGCCAAGCACAGGGACGATGTTTGGGGAGTGCACACCCTTCCACCTGACGAAGCCCTGACAGCTCCTCCCACTGGGCCAGGCCGGTTCCACAGCCCAGCTCAGACTCCTGTGTGGCTGGCCTGTGTCACCGCACCCGGTCCTGAACAGCCGAGTGCAGCCAGCGAGTTCAGTGAAGTGCGCGGTGCCCGGCGTCCGGCCTCCGGCCTCTTTGCTGTTAAAGGTGATCTCAGGACTTTTTGTTTTAAATAGGTGATTGGCCAAGAGGATCACGTAAACGGTAAAAAGATTCAGTAAGGTGTGCTTGGTTTTTAATTTTAGGGAGTTTTCTTGCCATAGTGCCTTTCAAAAGTCAACTTTAGGATTGTTTCGCTTTCAGTTTTGAGTTTGCAGAAATTAAGTTTATAGTGCAGGTGCTCAGTTAGGAGAGTTCTGGGGGGCTGGTGTGCCCTACACTTCCGTCGTTAGCAAAGTGGGACCAAAACGCTATGGCCGAAGCCGCTGTGCCGCACTTGTGAGCCAGCACGTGACCCGGGCAGATGATGATGCTCACGGGGGGCGTCGTGCGCGGCCCCTCCTCGTGCGGAGATGCCTGGCGAGGGTGAGTGATGCTCGCGGATGGAGGACATCAGACACCACGCCTCTGTGTTGCCGGTTTGGGTCGTGGTTTTGAAGGTTTTCAGGGGGACTCGCACACGGTCTAAGGCCTGGGAGAAAGGCCTCCGAGGGTGTGCTGTGCCTGTCCTCCCAAGGGAACGCGCTCCCAGTGCGGACGCTCCTCTCCCCTCGCAGGCACATCCAGGACCCTGCCAGCCAGCGGCTGACGTGGAACAAGTCCCCGAAGAGTGTTCTCGTTGTCAAGAAGATCCGGGACGCCAGCCTACTGCAGCCCTTCAAGGAGCTGTGCGTGTACCTGATGGAGGCGAGTGATCCTGGTTGGGGGGTGGCAACCCAGAGCCCCCTCGGCACCCCCACCGTGTCTGCGCCAGCCGGACTCCGCCCGGGAGCTCAGTGGGCTCCGTGCTCTTCTGGGCCCCAGGGTGGGGGTGGCAGGGAGCTGGCCGCCTAGCCAGGTTCTGGCTTTGTGATCCCAGAGCTGACCAAGTCAGGAAGCCCATTTCAGGGGCACCTGGGATCATGATTCCATGATTCCAGGGTCCTGGCATCGAGCCCCACATCAGGCTCCCTCCTCAGCAGGAAGTCTGCTTCTCCCTCTCCCACTCCCCCTGCTTGTGTTCCCTCTCTTGCTGTGTGTCTCTGTCAAATAAATAAGTAAAATCTTAAAAAAAAAAAAAGCAGCAGCAGCAGCCCATTTCAGGCAAGTGACTTCTGTAACGGAGGGTCACAGGGCCTCCAGGAGGACAGAAATCCGCATGAGCAGGTTGAAAGCAGTCTGCCCTCCGGGCCTGAGGAATACACTTCCTCCTCATTGTAAAGTCCTGAGGCTCAGGAGGAGGCTTCCCGGAAGACCAGCCTGATCTGAACGGGGTCTTGGTGGTGGGGCTGACGTGCTTGTTGTCTCCCTTTCAGGAGAACAACATGATTGTGTATGTGGAGAAGAAAGTTCTGGAAGACCCTGCCATAGTGAGCGATGACAACTTCGGACCAGTCAAGAAGAAGTTCTGCACCTTCAGAGAAGGTGAGTTTGCCTTCGGCTCTGTCACTTCCGAAGGTGTTCGTGCCCCTGCCCCAGGCCTGGAAGAAGCTTCTAGCGCTCCTGCCTCATCACGGGCACAGCGCCCTGTGGCATCAAGGGTTGCCGAGACACCGTTTGTTGTGTTTGTGTGTTTTCTAGATTATGATGACATTTCCAATCAGATCGATTTCATCATATGCCTGGGAGGGGATGGGACCCTGCTGTACGCATCCTCGCTGTTCCAGGTGAGGTGCGCGGGGTTCCGGCCTCAGCGACGCATGAGGAGGCGGTTTCCCAGGGAGGCTTTCCACGCCTTCTTGTACCTCGTGACTTGATGCCTCGGGACTGCCGAGTTCTACATTCTTCTTACTCTGATACAGAGCTTTTAGTTTGCTTATTTGGCTATACAGCAGGTCTGCAAATAATGCCAAGTGTCTCATCTGCCCTGTCTGGGTCTCCGTCCGCACCGGGAGTGCTGCTGACAGTGCAGCCTGGGCTGGGCAGCAGGACTGGCTGGGAAGAAGGGGGGCAGTGGTGGAGAAACGGGCCTGGGGGGGCTGCTGCCGATCCACAGACACGTGGCACCCACAAGGAGAAGCGGGCACCTCGTGGCCTAGGGGATGGGGCCCCCAGCAGGATGAAGGCGGTGGCCCCAGGCTGACCCTCCAGGGTACCCGGGAGGCCTGGAGGCTCCAGAGGATGGGAGTCTGCCTGGAAGCACACTAGGGTTGCCCAAAGTCCGCCTTCACTCTGCAGGGGGAGGCTCTGGCGTGGTGGCTTGTGTCCTTGCCTGACCAGCTCTCTCTGTCTCCATGGCCAGCAGGCTGGTCGGTCCCATTGCGTTGGCTTCTCATCAGCTCCGCATCAGTTTTGCATCCGCTCCTCCCGGCCTCCCTGTCTGCTAGCTGACCTCTTCCTGTGCGGTCGCTTGGAATCAGCCTGCCGGCCGCCTCCCATACCCCGCCACTGGCCGTGCACTCATGTGCCTGTCCATTCCCGGGAACAGTCAGGCAGGGGTGGTCCGTCGGTGCTGGGGACAAGTGGGGCGGCTCTTGAGTGGATTGGCTGGCTGACCGGCCTGCCTCATTGGCTCACAGGGCAGCGTGCCTCCAGTCATGGCGTTCCACCTGGGTTCCCTGGGCTTCCTGACCCCCTTCAACTTTGAGAACTTTCAGTCCCAAGTTACTCAGGTGATACAGGGTAAGTCGGAATGTTCTGGAACTCACAAGGAGTTCTGAGCATAGGATGGTCTCCTCACTTGGTCTTTGGATTTTTTAATGATGTGTAGAGCAATATTTAAGTGTTTGAAGATTCAGAGATTTAAGATTTTCGAATGCTTCCGATACTGGTTTCCCCACCCTGAGAAGTTGGAGGGGCCACTGGCGGAAGCGGCCGTGTGTGCTGGTCGGTAGCCGTGGATTGGCCTTTACAGAAGGCTCGGGTTCTGCCCTCAGTTTGGGAGAAGAAGGGTGGTCTCTGGTCAGGCAGGGGTGTCTTTGCCTCCTGCAGGCTGCCACTGCCCATCCCCCACCAACCTCCCCGCCGTGACCCTGTGGCCCCCAGGGAATGCGGCCGTAGTTCTTCGGAGCCGGCTGAAGGTCAGGGTCGTGAAGGAACTCCGAGGGAAGAAGACAGCGGTGCCCAACGGGGTCAGTGAGAATGGCGTGCTGCCCGCGGACCTGGACGCAGAGGTCGGGAAGCAGGTCATGCAGTACCAGGTCTGTGGATGTGGGCCCTGCCCTGGCTCCAGGCCCTGCCCTGCCTGTGCTACGGCCTCAGGAAGGGGCACGGGGTGGTGGGACTCAGGCCTGGGCCCAGTGGGTTCCCCTGACCTCAGGACCTCCCACAGAGCCCAGAAACAGTGCAGGTGCCTGTGGGGCCGACCACCTAGGACAGCCCTGCCCGGCCCCTGCCTGTGTGCAGTGACTTTGTCCCCCCAGGTCCTGAACGAGGTGGTGATTGACAGAGGCCCCTCCTCATACCTGTCCAACGTGGATGTCTACCTGGATGGGCACCTCATCACCACGGTGCAGGGTGACGGTAGGTAGCCACCTAGGGGGTCCCACGGCGGTGGGGGGTAGGAACAGGAGCCCACAGAGAGTGACCCTGCGGCCTGTCCACCAGGGGTGATCGTCTCCACCCCGACGGGCAGCACAGCGTATGCGGCCGCCGCCGGGGCCTCCATGATCCACCCCAACGTGCCAGCCATCATGATCACACCCATCTGCCCCCACTCGCTGTCATTCCGGCCTATCGTGGTCCCTGCGGGGGTCGAGCTGAAGGTCAGAGTCCACCTCTACCCTATATGGTTTAAGCTGTTGCCTGGGTCCTGCCACGCTGACCACCCCCTTTGCCGCCGGCTGTGACCCCAGCACCCGCTGGGTTGTGGGCCCACCTTGCTGGGGGCTGGAAGGGGTTTCTCCCTCTACTTTGTCTGTCTGGCCAGGTGCAGCACTGAGAGCTGGGCCAGCCCCTCCAGCAGGCTGTGGGCCCTTGGGGGGAGGGGCTGGTCCCCACTGGATGAGGGCAGGTGAGCGGCACGTGGTCCTGGCGTACCCGGTGCCCGCCACTGCTCCTCTGTCTCTGTTCTCTGCTTGTCTCGCGCTCCCCACTTTGGTCCACCCTGGGCTGGCGTGTCCCTGGCTGTGAGCCCTGGTAGGCAGGGGCACATCTGCAGGTCACAGGGAGAGAGGACTAGAGCCAGACTCCTGGATGGTGTCCCTGGCCCTGGGTGGGTGGTCGGCAACTGGGCCTGATGGCTGCCTGTCTTATTCCCGGGATTGGTGTCAGCGAGACAAAAGTATGAGACCTTCATGGCCTGGAACTGCCCTTGGTGTAGAGTGGGTGGTAGGGATACCTTCAAGAGTCCTCCTGCCCAGTGCTGCCCCCCGAGGGCCAGGATCCAAGGTGCTCAGCTGCACTCACGAACCCACATCTGTCCTGCTTGCCCCCCTCCAGATCATGCTGTCTCCAGAAGCAAGGAACACTGCATGGGTGTCCTTCGACGGACGAAAGAGACAGGAGATCCGCCATGGGGACAGGTGTGTGAGCCGTGGGTCCGGAGTGAGGAGTAGGAACGAGGGGCGGACTCAGGCCCTACCTGCCACCTTCATACCCTGTTGAGGTTGGCTTGTGCAGGCCCCACAGACAGAGCCCTGGCCCTGAGAGCTGCGGGGGGAGACGAGGGCCTGTCGGGCAGCTGGTCTCCCACACAGGTTGAAGCGTGTTGGCCCATGTTCTGTGCTGACCTTGAGGGCGACAGATCCACAGCCCCTCACTCCGGCCTGCCCTGGTGCCCCGCCAGCTGCACCTGTCCTTAGGATGGGCCAGGCCCCAGCCGTGCAGCCAGTGGCAGGAGCAGAGCCGAGATGGTCCCCAGCTGGGCCGGGGTGGGCACAGCCTTGGGGAGTGGCTCATCTGTGCCACACCATGTCTCCCACTCCTCAGCATCAGCATCACTACCTCTTGCTACCCGCTCCCCTCCATCTGCGTCCGAGACCCCGTGAGCGACTGGTTCGAGAGTCTGGCGCAGTGTCTCCACTGGAACGTGCGGAAGAAGCAGGCACACTTCACGGAGGAGGAGGAGGAGGAGGGGGCGGGGGAGGGGGAGGAGGAAGAAGGGGAGGGCTAGGCCTGAGCTCCTTCTGTCCACACTAGGGACCCCAGAGACCCGAAGCCGCTCCGCTGCCTCGTTCCCACTTGCCCTCTGGGAGCAGGCTGACCTGAGCACCTGCGCTGTGAGCCCCGAGCAGGCATCAGAAGTCACAGCACTTTCTTTTGTAGCCGGGGGCAGCGGCGGGGGGGAGAGCCAGGAATCTGCCTTTTGTGACCAGATCAGCCATTTTTAACATTTTAAATCTGACGTCTTTTTGCATTTCTAAACAAGAAAAGTGAGTGCTGGTGGGGGCTCGGAAGTCCACACCGGGGCGGTGCGCCCCCGTGCGGTCCCTCAGAGCCTGGTCCCAGGGCGGGGACCCCAGAGGGGGATGTGCTCTTCCATGATTCCTCGTCAGGAAGCTTGTGCTTCAGTCAATCCGTTGAAATTCAGAGGGGATCAGAACGGCTTGATCTGTCTTTTCTTGTCGAAAATAAATGTCTTGTAGCCAAAAATCTTCCTTTAGCTACCACGATTTTCCCCTTAAATCCTGCACCTTTTCCCCTAAAAGGACTCGAAGGGGACGCTTCTGTAGAGAGCAGTTTGGTGTTTGATTGGCTGATACGTGGAGGGTCCCCTCCTTCCTGCCCTGCACCTGCACCTCCTCTGGGCACACCTTCCTGCCTTGGTCTCCAGGCCCTCCCCTCCCCCACTGCTGTGGTGTGCGAGCCCAGCGGTGGCCCAGTGGGAGATCAGACCCATGCACATTCCTCACCAAGCAGGGGCGGCCCCCTCTGCACCCTGGAAGGTATTTTAAGTCCTGTGTACACTTTGTAGAGATCATTTTAAGCTTTTTGAACTGCTTATGTACAGATTTTATTGTACACACTTTGAAGATGACAGAGGGAGCGGGATTTGTACTGTTACGAAATGGAGCTTTGCTCCGATGTTTACACATGTTCTGTGCGGCACTGTGTGCTGGGACCACTCTGTTCAGTGTGCTCACTGTGGGGGTGACGGCCCACGGGGTGAGAGGGTGCTTCTCGGTTAGTAAGCCGTGGTACTTGGACTGCAGCTAGAAGATGGGGACGCATTGCTTAGTGAGGAAAGAGGTAGTTGGGGACGTTTTGTGTTGATTCTGCTCTTGCTTCTCCCCGTGGGTCTTGGGCTCGCGAGGAAGCTCCCATCATTCCAGCGGTCGCTGCACTGCCCACAGGCTGCGTAGGGCGTGGGCACGTGTGCTTGCCACATGGGACCCAGAGCCTGTGTGGTCTGGTGGGAGCCGTGGCTCAGTGCATGTGGCTTTGGCCCCTGGTTATTGTTGCCTGACAGACGTCCTACATTTGAGTATGTGTTTCTGAGTAGCTGATATCTCTTGGAGCTGCAATTTTTATCTATTGAATTGGCAAGAATAGAAGGGACAGAAACTGCCCTTTTTTCTTGGACCCGCTTCTGGGGTGACAGGGACGGTCCTGTGCTTTGTCTTGTGGAGGGTCACGTGCCTCATTCTTGGGCTGATAGAAAGGCTGGGGCCCACGCGGGCAGCCACCCTCAGCCAGGGGCCTCCGTAGAGCAGGCTTTGTGGCCTGAGCGTGGCCTCCCACATCCATGCTTTGGGACTTCTGGCCCTCAGGGTGGTTCTTGGCCGATAGCCTGGAGTTGGAAAGGGAGGGGGCCCACATGGCCATCCAGCAGGGGCGAGACGTGGTTAGAGGGTTGCTGCCCAGCCTCCCTTGGGCTGAGAGGGGCCCGAACCAAAACTCCCAGCTTTAGGTCCAAAAGACAGTGGCATTTGGGATTTGGGTCACTGGTTTAGACAAAAAAAAAAAAAAAAAAAAAAAAAGCAAGTATTAACCAAGTCCAAAAGCAGCATGATTTGGAATGATCTAGAAAACTTTGGATTTTTTGAAGTAAATTCTTAATGTTTCATATTGTTAATATCTCGAAAATTTGTTAGATGTCGTTGAAAGCCTTATTACAATATTTTCAGATCCTTTCAATAAACAGACTTGTTTAAAAACTTGGATTGGCTGGCAACTTTATTTGGTTCTTTGTAACCAACACAGAGATACTTAGAGAGGCAGGCCAGGCTTCTAGAGTCTGTGGACACCAAGTGCGCCGTTGGGATGTGTGAGGCAGAGGGTGTCTTGCCCAGGCAGCCGCCACGTTGAATCCCATCCCAGGTGCCCCCGTCAGCCTTGCCATTAGCACTGGTAGGCCTGGGGCTCAGCACCTGTTCTCTCCAGAAGAGGTGTAGAACTGGGTGTCACCACCTGTCCTGAAGGGTAGATAGCAGAGGCTTGGGTGAGGGAGCAGGCTTGAGCCTACAGAAAGGACATGCTCTCAGGTAAATCCGAGGACTGGCCCAAGGGGACCCTCAGAGGGGCTCTGGGAGACCTGCAGCCCCCATAGGCTTCGAAGTCCTCCCCACAGCTCCATCCAAGCCTGTTGGGGTCAGGGAGCATGGGCCAGGCTCTGGCACACACTCATCTCTCTCCTCCCATTCCACATGGTCTTGACTAGGTGTCGGTCAGTGTGGGGGAAGGCTTTGCCAGGAGCCCAGCTGAGCACTGCAGACATGCAGGAGGACATGGACAGCCCTGTGTGCTGGGACACTGGGTGCCCCCTGCCATCTGCAGAGGCCTGTGGGGAAGGGGAGAAGCAGCTGAGCTCTCCCCCAGCCTCCCTGTCCCTCCTCCCAGGCCAGTCCTAGAGAATCAGCCTCCTGGGGCCGTATGTGGCCTTGGCCTGCCCTGATCAGGACCCCCGCTCTCCTGGTGCACGTGTGGGAGCAAGTCACCTTACTGCTCAGGTGTCCCAGTGGCCAGGAGGCCTCTGCAGTCTGTGGGCTGGCCTGCTGGGACATACAGGCACCTGTGGTCAGTTTGCACAGGTGCCACAGGCAGCAGGGTGGGGCAGGCACCCGAACTCAACCCTAGCATCCAGAGATTCTCAAGATTCGAGCTGGCGCGGATCCCAGGCTGGGCTTTGTCCCCTCTGGTGGCAGAAGGCGCACTTTGAGGGCAAGGGCCAGAATCAGCTGACTAGAGGGGCTGGCTCAGTGTTGGGCGCTGCCTTTAACCACAAGGCCACGTGTCTCAATAATGGCTGTTGACCTGTGAGCCTTGGACCTTTCCTGCCTTGGGGAAAGGAGGAGGGTGGGGCACAGAGGCCACAGGGTCTCAGGCCGCCCCAAGCTTCCAGGCTTCAGGGTGTTAGCCTTGGAACCCTTTCTGGCCTTTGCTGGCTAAGTTGGAACAGCACAGGGCCAGACCCCAACCCAGGCCTCTGCTGAGTTCCCCACCTGGCTGGCCTCCCTTCCATCTCAGGCCAGGCCACCAGCCGTGTCACAGCAATGCTGTCCCAAAAAGCAGTAGCTCCCCGCCTGCCCCGTGTTACCTAACCTGGAAGCCACTAGATACCAGGAACCAGCTAGTCTGCCTGGGGGTGAGGGGGACCCAGAGTGAAGGATCAGTTGGAGGAGCAGAGAGAGCACCGGTGGGGGGGGGAGGGCGCGTGCTGGTGAGAGGGACGTGGGAGAAGGCGGGAACTGCACAGTGACCACGTGGAGATCAGCCACTTCTGCACATTCTCCTTCAGAAAGATCCAGGCCAGAGGTTGGGTGGTTTTCAGAATCATGGAAACACTGAGGATTTGGTGGGAAGGGGTGAAGTGGGATTGAGGTTGGGGTGGGGCAGAGGAAAGAGAGGGATGGCAGGGTATGTCCCAAGCCACCTGCAGACCCGCTGGCCAGTGCCCCTCCCACAGGTGGCCTGCATCAGCTGTGGCCCTCCCATGCTGTGCCTCCCACGGAGGCCTCCAGTCAAGGCTGGCCTCCTCCCCAGCAGCACAGAGGACAAAGGCAGGAGTTGACCTTAGCCCATGGCTTCCTGGGAGCACAGTGAGGCCAGGCGTCGCCCCTTGCTCACCAGCGCTGCTCCCCAGACACTGGCCTGAGATAGCCAAGGGTCTGCTCCCTAATCCTGTGGTTTTGCTTCCATGACTTTTAGCCCCATGGTGCCCAGAGGCTGAATCCCAGGGACAGAGGCTGCAGGTACCTCCACCAGGGTCAGACCAAGGGGTCACACTGTAGGGTGTGGGGTAGGGGTACCCAAAGGGTTCCCAGGAATGGCTTGTCTCTGGTTTAGGGACAGGAGCTGTTTTTCCAAACCAGCTGCTTGTCAGTGCTTCCTGACAACTTTGTCAGTGGGCCTGGTGGCACAGAAAAGGGGGCCTCCTCCTTTCCACCCAACGGAACTTGATCCAGGCCGCATTCTCTGGGCTTTGGGGGCTCCTGGGCCCCCATCCAGACTTCTCTGCTGTCCTCACTGTTGCCTGGGAATGGGGCTCCTCTGGGCCTGTAGATCCCATCATCCCACCTGGGTGGGGCCATCAGACTAGGACCCACACACAGATGAAGCCTGATGAGAGGGGTGAGGGCCAGGAAGCCAGGAGCTGCACACACAGCAGCTCAGCTATCTGGGAGGGACCCGTGAACTTGCCACGGACACTTTCCTTCCTGCTTTCCAGAAGATCACCCTTTAAACGTCATCGAAACCCTAAAGGAAGAGATCGTTGTCAGAAGGGGGTCCAGAGGTCAGAAGTCCCCTGTGTCTTGGAGGGAGGCAGGGCTTGGGCAGAGGGCCTGACACCCCAGCTAGAGCTTCACAGGCAGGTTTCAGGGGAGTCTCAGCCTCAGAGTCTTTGTTGGTCAGGTCTCCTCCTTCACAGGGACTGCACCCTAATCGATTCGTGTCTACACTGGCATCTACGCTGCAGCCTTGGGTGTGCAGATGAGCGGAGGCATTATTTAAACGACCCCACCTGAAACCCAGCAGAGTATGCAGAATCCTGGCCAGTCTATATGCTTTCGCCCAAATTTCTGCTTCCTGGAATCCAGTCACAGGAAGAAGTTGGAACTCCAGCAAGTTCAGATAAAAACACCGTGTGGCACCCATCACAAACAACTCAAACATGACCCCATGGTGAAATCTCTGAGGCCACCTTAGCGGGCAACAATGTTTCCTTTGAGTATTTAGAGACAAGAACTGTTGGCAGGCAGAGAGAGGGGACAGGACGCCAGCTCTGGAATGTGTCTGCGGAGCAAAGCGCTCTGCAGGCAGTGGCTGGAGGCAGCGGCTTGGAGGCCAACTGGAAGCTCCGAGGGCAGGAGGGGAAGTCCCCAGG